CGAGTACTACATATATGTGAGGGGTGGAGAGGTCAAACAATGGCATTTGTGCCTGCATAATTATGAAATTACTCTGCCACAGCCGAGTGGCGAAACTGTTCTCTGTGTGCACTTCCTCAGCCATTCCTGATTCTCCTTTCTCCTTTCGCACTTCTCTGTTCTTCTTTGCTTTTTCTTGGCCTTTCTTTTGTGCTTTGCTTTGTGCAATTTTATGTAATTCAAGGAGAGATTCGAGGTTATGTCTTAATGTACCGGAATATCCAATTCTTTGTGCAGGACATTGGTGGAACTATGAAAGTGTTTAAGCTTTCCATGGATCATGGATATGACATTGACATTTATCGATGTCCAGAAACATTAAATACAAGTGGATACCATCTACCAATACCAATCCACTTGACAGCTTTTCCTGCTCTATGAATTTCAGTACCAAATCTTTTCCTAAAACTTTATGCATCTTTAATCTTTGCGAAGAGGTTTCTTTTCCTTTTAGACACCATTTCAGTCCATTCTGTTCCTTTCCATAGAATTCCGTTGGGGTAATGTTCACTTTTAATTCCCCCGTTCCGCCCCGAACCACTCATTAGTCTTACAAACTATGCACATGCGAGAGTATCCCTGCCATTGTCCTGCCTTGGTTCTCATCCCCCGCCACGGTCCTGAATTCCACTCCGTGCAACTCCCATCGTGATCGCCATGAATGGCCGCCACATCCTGTTGCCAGGACCCAGACGACGACATTCAAGGACTGCGCTACGCTATGGAAAAATCCCTTTTTATGAATGAGTCGCGGTGCCATTTGCATATTAACGGCTTGTAGCCCTAATATGTGCACACTCCCAGTCCACACCTCTCCACAGTCCTTCGCTCCACCATTCTCCTCCTCCGCCGTACTCTTCTGTGTATTTGCATAATAATTTTATGGTCCGCTGCAGTGGAATGGGACTTGGAAAAGCCAAAGCCAAGACCAAGAGCCATTGTTGCCGGCCAAGGAGCCAAGGACCATATAAATGGGAGGACTTGAACTCTCGCATTCCTCCAAATGGTTCTTGAATGGCGGGGGATACTGCTGCACTCACCAAATTGCCCAAAACGGAGCAAGGCGTAGTTTATGGTAGTAGGATATTACTTTAGAATGGTTTAGGATATTACATTGGATGGGTAAAGGATATTACTTGTTAGTCCTTTATTACCGATGAAGCAATGCATTGAATCAATGCTCTCTTCAAACCCTACCCTATACATATCCCATACATCACATAATGATGAAAAATCTACTCCAACACCTACTCAAAACAGTCCAAGTGGGAGATATTCCTCCCGGAACTATTGGCCTTCTAAAATATATAAATCTATCCAAGGGTATAAAGAGCGCTGAAAATTTAGTAACTAAATAACAAAATCATTTCAATTGAAATCAGTAATTTCTAAAAATATTCCTCGCTTTTTTTAACTTTATAAATTGCAACTTAATACGAGTATACTTTAACTGTAGACACATTTCCAAGCTGTTCCCAATGGAGTGACTTCAGGAACCATCATTATATTTGACAATTTTCCTTTACTACTCGGACAGCAGTCTTTCTTCCAGGACATCCCCCTATATAATTGAGGAATTGCTGCGACGGACAATGGATGGACCAAGACGCGACAGCAGATGAGTGTGGGAGGCAGGAGCCACCCGGGTACATGCCACAAAAGTGCCGCATCAAGTGACAGTCATTTACATAATTATTAGAAACAGTTAAATGTCCACAAATTGTACTTCAGTCCCGGACACGGGGGAGTCATTACTTACTGGGCCATGGCTTAAAAGAGGGTGTTGGTAATGCGAATGGGAATGGGAATGTGGGAATGGAGGAGGATGTGCCCACGCTATCTGGTAACCAAATATCTTGGCTGTAATTTAGAGAGTCCCGGCAGACCTCTGTTCGGCTAAGAGACTCAGAGACTGAGAGCCTGGTCGGTCGGTCCCCCTGTTGACGTGCGTGCCTTTGACTATTTAAAATTGTTGCAGGACAAACACTGGGAGCAGGAAATAAAATAAAATGTAATTTTTATTAGGCTTCGTGGTTTTTATTGTCTGCTTTATCGTTCTTACAAGTTCTTCGTTTGCGCTCTCCCTTGTCTTGTCTTGTCTTGCCTTGTCTTGTCTGATATTTGTCTATGGCATGTCCTGGTCATGCCACAGGTCACAGATACACGCACACACAGATACACGGAAAACACACACACACACACACACATAGATAAATAGACTTGGCCACAGGACATGGCCCCGGACGGCCTTTTGTGAAATTTTCGGTTCGGTTTTCTGTTCTATTTTTTTATGACTTTTTTATTGACTTGATTATTATGTTGTTTGTTGTTCTCGGCCCGACGCAAGCCGAAACTTTCCTTAAGTCGTGCGCCGTGGCTGAACTGGGACTAGGACTAGGACTGGGACTGGGAATGGGAGAAATTAAAAAATAATTTAGAGCCCCTGGTTCAAGGGTTGCCGCATAAATTGTGGCCCACCGTCTGGAGCGCAGCCTGTGTCTGATTGCCTTGCCTTCTTCTGCCCTCATAAATATCACAGGAGTGATGCACCTCACGCACTTGAGGGTATCGAATTTTTGACACCTCCAGCGGGTGTGCAATAGGTACAGATAGAGGTTGGATTTGTTTGGAAACATTATGACTTCATTTTTGTATAATTTTCGTAACCATTATAAATTAGATTAACTTAATTTTTGATTCTTTATTCCCAATGAAAAAATAGGTAGATATTTTCTATCTTTATACCATTTCGATTACATACCGCTCTAGAATCCATATACCCCAGAGAGAGTGTGTATATACTGCCACTGCCAATACCACGTCAAATACGTAGAGGCCCATATGTGTACAATATATCCCCTGTGCGATTGTTATGACAGCTCGACTAATATTTCACAGGACACCGATGTGAGAGCAAATCAAAAATTTGCCAAAGAGCGTAATTCGAACCTGTGCTGCTCAATAAATTGTCAACTGAAAAAAACAAATAAAAACAAATAAAACAGCAGGGAATTTCGAGTTTTAGTCATTTAATTGGAAAATGTGTCCAAGACACCTTGACAACAGGCCTTGACAATTTATGGAATCCATTCCCAAATGAAAGTTTTCCGCTGTCGAGTATTTCGGGGGAAAAACTAATAATGAAAAGTGTATCGGATGACCATACATGGAAGGCAATAGCGAGGAACAGAGATTAACTTCGTTGGGATTATCTTTCCAGTTAAGTGGCTTTCCTTAAAGCTGATGTTTAAGAACCCATTTTCAGAGGCCATTATGCTGACGGCGGCTTATATTAACTGCCACCAAAGCGTCAAGGGCGAAGCGACCCACAAAAATGCAAAGGAAATCAAAACAAACTGAACCCAAAGACAAAGACAACGAAGAAAAGAAACCACAAAAGAAGAGCAAGTCTCATAATTAAAAATTAAGCCATTCGCCTATTAGTTTTAACCCTCATTAACTTTAGATAAACTAATCTCCAAAGTAAACCACTCGCATTCAGGACCCGAGCGGAGCTAAACTGACACGACCCTTGCCACAGGGCCCGGCCCCCATGCACAGCATCAGCATCAGACGCTGGGTTTTTATTCCGCGCGCGCCTACAATGCGTGAAAAGCTCATCAGCTCGTGGCAACTGTTTCGGGGATGTGCAGCGGCGAGGAGCCACACAAAATGATGTAGAAACAGAAAGAGCCTGAACCTAATATGCTAAAGAAAAGAAAAAAACGAAAAGAAAAGAAAATAAAAGAGAGAAGCCGAATGAACCCATCACATCGAGCAACCAGAGAAAGGAAAGATAATTAAAAACGCAACCTTGATGGAAAATGAAATGTTTACAAAGAGACACAGGCCCCAGCCCCAGTCGTAGTCTCAGGCTCAGCCTCAGCCTCCGAAAAATGTAAAGCACAGTGACAAGCTCAGAGAAAAAGAAAATGTTGAAAGGCCCCCAGAAAAGACGAGAGCAAAGCGAGGAAAACATTTGCATTGCCGCTCAGGCAGCACCAGAGAACGAAAACAAAAACGGATACACGCAGCGGATCCAAAGTTTACTCAAGCAACACACAAAAACACACAAAAACTGGGCAAAGTTGTGGGCGTGGAAGGGTCTAAGGAGCCGGATCCGGCAAGGCCAGAAAGGAAGCGGATTGGTGGAGCGTTGGAGCAGGCAAAGTCAAGCGAAAATTAACTGGAGCATTTTTTTTTCCTATGCCTGCTGTACAAGGGCATAGTGTAATCGTGGAATAATTAGGCAGACGGAAAGTGATTCCGTTCCTCAGAAGTTCAGTAGAATTACGCTAAAAAATGTCTGCTATAATTAAATATCCAAATATGTATTTTTGATTCTGCTCCGATCGTTGCTATGACATAGCGATCCTTTATTAGCATTCAGCCTTCAACCTATACATGTGGATACACAACAACTTGTCTCCCTTTTAACTCAATTAGGGAGCATTTTTTAAGCATCTTATAGTGGTTATTAATTTATCGGGCGGGCAATGCATGGCTTAGTCCCAGAAGAGCGAGTAAGACCATCTGCAACAGTACCAACTTGATGTTTGGGGGATTAATGAATAAGGAATTATATTACTTTATAGCAACATATTGTATAGCAGATGGTATCATATTTAGATTACGTCATTCAGGGATCATTATTAATGTAATATACTACGATATTTAAATTAGTTTCGAAACAACAATAAGCATTATACGGTATTTAAAGTAAAACAAAATTAACTTGTTAACTATTTGGATCACTGACGATCTATCTGATTCGATAACATAATCGACAGGTAGTCCTTTTTGTAAATGTGCTTTTATTATACAATAAAATCTAAAAGACGGCGGTCTGAATTGTCCAATCCAAAGTCACAAAGTTCTTTACTTACTTGGCTTAACGCCAGGAAAGCAAGAAATACCGTCTTTAACAGTACCAACTTCATGTTCGGGCGATTGGAGAATACTATTGGTTAATAGCCACACAAATTTTGAATATAAAAAGATCACATCCTACTATGGATCCAACCAAGATATTTTAATTGATTCAGGAACAACAAAGAACATTATACGGTATTTGAAGTAAAACCAAATCATCGTAACAAATGAAATATGCTGGGAAAACGAGGTAAAGATATATTAAGACATATCTATTTATTTTGTTCCCCACATAGACTTTTTGCTCGTGCGATCGTTAGTATAGAAGCTACATTACTATCCCTTACTCCTTGCATTCGGTTCAGATGAGATAAAGCGAATAGGCTGAATGATGGCTTGGCTAAACGATAGGTAAGCGAGGAAGAGCAGCTGCAACAGTACCAACTTCATGTTCGGGCGATGGATTCATGATAAATTCTATTCAATAACATTTAGTGTACCATATCAGATGATAAAAATAATACGATTACACGGATCATTGGTTATGGATCAAACTAAATGCTTCTGGAAACACACAATAAAAAAACGAGAAAGAACGTCTGAGTCGCTTCTGAGGACGCGACTCTACTTTTATACCCGTACTCAGTCATTATCTAAATTTGTGAGCTTATGATTTATGTAGAATGAGTAGCGGGTATCTTGCAGGTCTCTTGGGGGAAGCATCTAAAAATTAATTTCTTCATTCTGGCTATAATTATGATCCGGGTATGGATATAAAAACTAGATTCCACAAGAGAGATTGATGTCAGGATATCCTTGCAGATAATTATTTGGGGGTCTGCTTAAATCTGCCACGTACATCCAGTGTATTTCAATGGGAAAACTATAAAATATTCTCATGTTTGTTTGGTTTGTGCCCAACCGTATCGTGTCATGCCCTATTAGGTTCTGGGAGCACATCATCAAATGAAAAATAATAAAATATATTCGCAGTTTTCTGTTCGCATTGTATATTTCTGTATAATCAATTAGAGCTACTTATAGTTTAAACACAATTGCTTTGCTCATTGTTGCCTGATATATGTATGTATGTACGAGTATCTATGTATGTAGATCCTTAAAACAACAAAAACCTGTAATGATAATTACAAAGCGCAAAAATTGAGCAAATTACACGAAAGCACTTGACTTTACACACACCTATAAAATGAGTATACTATTACGCTTAAACAATAGAGATGGGGAAACGAGAGCAAACCATTTACAATACAAGGATATACATATGTGGGTAGTAGTAGTAGAAGAAGCCGCCTTATTGGCCAAATAAAAATAATACCGCGAGTAGAAAGCATACCAAGCCAGGACGAGAGATAGCCGGGACAATAAATTATGTAAAACTTTACATGGGTGAAGAATCTATACATTTCTACTTAACTTAAACGAACGAACGACTTGGATAATTGTCACTTGTCATATATAGACGCCATGGATGCTAATTCGTTGGTGGTCGATGATTTTGCTGTTGCTTGCCGTTGGCGCTGCCACTGCCACTGCCATTGTCCCGCTCCCTCTCCCTCTCCACCTTATTCTCCCGCACCATCAAAAGCAACTGGAGCATCATGAGGGCCTGCACCTTGTCCAGGGGGTCCATGAAGCCGCGTTGCAGCCATTTGGGTATGGTGGTGCGGGCATGACTGAAGCCCAGCTTATTGAGTATGTAGTCGACGCCGTAGGGCTCGATGGACTTGCCCGCCCAAGAGAGCAGCCGAACTGTTGGCTCCAGATGCCACGTCTGGCACTCAAAGTGCCGCCAGTCGCGCACAAACGATTCCAGATCAAAGCTCGGCGGTGATGCCTCCAAGCCACCAGCTGCTGCTGCGTTTGCCTGCTGCTGTGGCTGTGTGCCTCCATCTTTGACATCGTTTGTAGGTGCCGTCGCTGTCGTTGTGGTCGTCGTCGATGACGATGCTGATGATGATGCTGCTGCGGCTGCGGCCGTGTTCGCCGTCGTATTTGTTGTCGCTGACACATTGGTCGTTGAGTTCGCTAGGTTCGTGTGGCTGCCCTGCAGCGGCTCCAGGCTGCTCTTGCTGGCGCTCATTTGCCTGCCCTGGGCAGTTAGGTTCGTGTTGGAAGAGCTCCTCTTCTCTTTGAGTATCTCGTCCGTCAGATACGGCTTCAGGTTGGTCTTCTGCGAAAGATTGGGCGAGGCAGCTCTCGCCGATTGAGCTCCAATCTGGCAAAGAAAGGAAATACAAATAAATAAACTGCTAGACCCAATGTAAAAATCTCCCTAGGAAAGTCTTACCACCTTCTCTTTTTCAGTCACATAGGAGGTGATGAGATCGTGCAGGAAGAAGAAGGCATCCGCATCGACGGTCACAAAGATGTGATCATCGAATTCGGTTATGAAGCTGCACAAAACCTCTGGCTTCGTTTCTGTAAGAAAGATAATCGAGTTGCCAGTTAAGGATTCATATCTGAGGATTCAAAGTGGATGCTTACCACTTGGCTCTGGTGTGGTTGGTCCCTGTTTGTGCTCAGTCTTGAAATGCAGCTGCAGGCTGGGCAAAGCGAAGATAACCTCCCGATTGTGATTGTGCTCCTGTGCCTTGGCGGAGCTGTTGCTGCCAGAGGCGCGCGTTCGCTCAATCGAATTGGATGCTATCTCCCGCTCGCATTCCATGATGGGGAAGCGATCCACAGCTACAAATGGAAGAGAAGACAATCAGAAGTGAGTGACATTAATTTGCGAGGGCACTCGGCACTCACCATCAATCTCACTGTTGGCAAACGCATAGTGGAACCACTCGTTGAGCGTCTTGAACTGTGGCGGGAAGATGATGTTGCGCGTGATGCGACTGACGATGGCCATCGAGTGGTTCTGCTGCTGCTGCACCTCGGTGCTCTGGCCCAGGCAGGAGGTGAGCGTCTGTGTGACCAGCACCTCATGGGAGCCCGATTCCTCCATCTGTCGCGCCTCCGTGGCAAAGTTAATCGAGGGAGACCTCAGGCTGAACAGCGCCCAAGACTTGGACTTGAAGTTGATGCCATGGAAGCAGGCCAGCGAGATGTTCTGCCCGCGCAGCTCCACTGTGCCGCCCAAGACGTTGCCATGGCGGGGCAGACGGGTGACCAGGGAGGGCACCACCAGACCCACAGCCTGGGCCAGGGGTTTCTGCCAGTGGCGGTGGTGTCGGGCATCCGTGTTTTCACCAATCATGCCCGTGGGCACGCCCTGCGGTGCTGCCAGCTCCCCGTTGGGCTTCTTCTTGTGCTGCTGCCGGCGCTTGATGCTGGCCGTGCGATCCTGGAGCCGCGGCTCGAGGCTGGAGAAGACCCGCTTGGAGGACTTGAACTGCTGCGTAAAGAACTCCTCCAGCTTGAAGTACATCTTCAGCATATCCGCCGTCGTCGACTTGGAGATCATGATCTGCAGCTGATCCCAGCTGAGATCGCCGTGGATGAAGATCAGAGCCCGCGGCTGATCCTTGCCATGAGCGGGTGCTGCCGCTGCCTGGGAGGCGGTACGCCACTCGTCCTTCATGGCCGCGGAGAAGCTGCTGATGCGCGTCATCAGCACCGAGGTGCCCATGTAGTCGAGTCGCAGCTCCAGGGCCATGAAGCTCAGTCCCAGCGTATGGTAGGGCTCCATGCCAGCCTCCTCCTTGATGTGGAACCGCTTGTTGATCTTGTTCACCTCGAAGCTACCGCCCACAATGCCACCCTTGGCATCCAGCGCTGATCCGCCCAGGTAGATGCCCGCGTACATGTTCTTGTAGCCGGTGCTGCCGATGGACAGGCGTCCGTCCGACTGGAAGTCCTTTGTCAGCCACACCACGTTGCCGCACACATTCCCGATGTTCATCTGGACATTCAGCTTCGTAAAGTTCACGGCAAACAGGACGAGCGTCTCCCAGGACGTGATCTGGTTCTTCTCGGAGGGAGGCGTGCCCGAGGACTCGGCACTGGAAGATTTCCCCAGATTCTTTAGCTTGCGCACAGCTCCAAAGTGTCCCAACTGCTGCTGCTGCTGCTGCGTCGGCTGGGCATCAAAGTCCAGACGCATTTTTTCCTTCGCCCGCCCTGCATCATCGCTGGGTGTGGGCGTGGCTGGCGCACAACCCGTGGGTGTCTCCGCTCCACCTCCGTTCGCCTGCTGCTGCTGCTGTTGCTGCTGCTGCTGCTGGTGGACACTGAGATCGCCCAGGAAGAGGCGTCGCACAATGCGGCGCCTGTACCATGCCTTGGGGAAGGCCAGGATCTCCGTCAGCCGCCGCATGTCGTACTTGAAGCTGGCACTGCCAATGTCAACGATGGTGGAGAATCGAATGACGGCGCGCGAGTGGTCGAGGCCTCGCTTGGAGCTGGGCAGCGGCTCGATGTAGACCTTGCGGCAGCGCGTGATATGGAACTTGACAAACTCCACATTGATGCTGAGCGAATCCTTGCGCTCGCTGTCGCTCAGGGGCGAGAACTGGGTCTCCTTGGAGGTCTTCTTGCCGCCGTACGGATGGAAGATGAACACATTGAAGTCAGCCAGACACCCGGTGACACTCAAGCCGCCCGTCGGCAGCGGCTCCGGGTGCGTGTGGGTGCCAGAGCTCTCCTCCTCGCTGCTGCGCTTCGAACTGAAGACAATGTCCAGACTGGGCAGCTGCAGCATGCACTCCACGCGGGACACAGGCAGGCAGCTAAAGCGGAAGGTGGAGGGCTGCATGTGGAAGTAGACGATGACATCCACTGGGAAGGAGGCATATGTCACATAGTTGGCTGGCAGAATATCCAGATTAACAGCCGCATTGAGGTTGGGCGTCTGGGGCACACTGCTGGGCTGCCGGGCGGGTATCGGCTCCAGTGTCTGCTCCAGAAACTCGAGTATGTGCGGCGAGATGATTGTCTCCTCGGGTATGCTCTGCAGGGTCATCCAGGCGCAGAGCGTGGCCCGCTTGCTGCCTATCCGTCGGGGTCCGTGCGGCGTGGCTGCTGTCGCTGGATCCGGCTGATGATTCGCCTGCTCCGCCAGGGTCTTGGACTGGTAGTGCAGCTTCACGTCCAGTCCGGGTATGTGGAAGATGGTGAGATCCGCCAGCAGCGCATTGGCATTGTAGCGCAGCTTGCTCTTGTCCCGCTGTCTGCGCGATGGCGTCGGACTGCCCCAGTCGTTGCCAATGCTGCGCTCCCGCTTATGCGACTTGACGCTCGAGGCAGCCGCTCCAGCAGCTCCGGCTGCTCCTGCCGCCGCATAGCCCTGGCCCTGGCGCTCCTCTCCCGTGTCCTTGGTGTGCAGCACACACTTGCCAGAGTTCACCAGCACCTTGACGTCCAGCTCAAAGTCAATGTTCGGCTCGGCCTGCTTCTGGCCGTGTCCGTGCTTGCGTCGCATCTCCACGGATATGCCATCCACATCCATCTCGCTGGGCGTGCAGTCGCCGCGCCAATCCAGCTCGTTGTCCGCCGTCTCCGTGTCCGTGTCCGCATTGGGCAGCGATGTCTGGCGCATGGCCTCTGTGAAGGTTACTCTGCCCAGCGCATTGACAATACTTCCTCCTGCTACTCCTCCTCCGCCGGCCGTCTTGAGGGAAGCGCTGCGCGAGTGACAGGAAGCGGGTGTGCTCTGCAGGCTGGAGATCTCATCGTTGGAGGCAATGGTGTCCAGTCTTCGGCCCGCATAGCTGTGGCTGCCGTTGTCCAGCGTTGGGGGCACTCCACCCACTCCGGGAATTCCCACTCCCCCGCCAATATACGAATGCGAGCGACTGTAGTTCTTGAGGGATCTCCGCAGCGAGGGGCGCTTCCACTTCTGGATCATGTCGCGCCGGAAGTACTTGTAGCAGATGGCCTGCAGCTCCTGCAGCCGCCGCTCCTCATGCGCCACCGTATTGTGGGATGCGCCCAGCGTCCTCAGATCATTGATAATCTTCAGCTGCTCGGCCATCTCCTTCTCCATCATGAACGAGCGCTTCTTGGAGTCGATGGTGGGATCAAATACGAACGCGGGCAGGTTGTCGAACTCCCCGCGACGCCTCACGTACGTGTCACGGCAGCTCTGATCCCCCTCATCGCTGTCCGGCGACTCCATCTGCGTGTCCTCCTCCTCGAAGCCCGTCAGCATTGTCAGCGTGTGCCCCAACGAACTCAGCTGCTTGCCAATGTTCACGTCCAGATGGATGTCCACGCCCTCCATCTGCCACTTGACATTCAGCAGCCACTTGGCATTCTCCCCCTTCTTGGCGGCGGTGGTGCGGGAGCAGACCTCGAAGGTGCCCTCGGACACCACGCACACGTTCATAATGGGCTCGCCGCTGGTGGGCTTCCAGTCATCCAGATTGGTCTCAAAATCATCCGCAAATCGGAGGCACAGTCCCTGGAACTTGCCCTTGGACACCAGTGCGCCCGAATTGCACGCCGAAATGATGGTGTTCTCCAGCGTGATGACAACGGCTCCCTTGGCATCGAAATCCTGATACGAACGGGAGCCAAAGGACTAGAAAGAGGAGTTGAATAAAATTAGGAAATGCTTGAAATGTAGTCCGGAGGGAACCCACCACAGTATTCACTTGTTTCAGGGGCAAGCATATGCCCATATCCTCGACAGTTAGCTGCAGGAACAGCGTGGACAAGTTCGATCCTGCTATCTGGCCAAAGGCGACGCGATCAAAGACCTGCTGCTGCTGCTGGGCCGTCGCCTGGCTGTGCTCGTAGCAGAGATTGGCCCGCTTCTCGGCCCAGTACTCGTAGGCGTTCTTGTAGTTCAGCCACACCAATATGGCCTTGTCCACGGCTATCGGCTGGATGTAGACCAGGGGTCGCTTCAACGTGAGCAGAATCAGCTCCTTGTCCTCGTTGAGCAGCTCGTCCTGGAAGGCATTGCGCAGGCCGATGGTCGTGTGGAAGAAGGCATATTGCTGGAACTCCGGCTCCGCCTCGTCAAAGATCACATTGCGGATGATCTGTCCCAGCGACAGATTGAAGTCAATGTGCGCCTTGAAGAACAGCTTCCGATTGCTCATGTCCCCCAGATTCTTGACGCGATTCGACAGCTGCAGCTCCAGGGTGCCCGTCTCGAAGCGCACTGCCGACGAGCAGGGCGTGGTGGCCGTCAACTGAATCCTCTTCATCGATATATTGATGGAGAAGAGAATCCTCTTGAGCGTAGATTCCTGCACGCTGGCACTGTCGCCACTCTCCTCGGTCCACAGCGGCACGGGCTTCTCCCCGCCGTACACCTTCTGCAGCACCTCGTTGATCTCGCGCATGAAAACCTTCTGCACAAACACCAAGTGGTTCAGCAGATCCGTGGTCAGGCAGCGCTCGAACTCGCCAATCTCCGCACTGGCATTCACATAGCCACCCTGCCGCAGCACAATACCCTCGATGCTCTCCGTCTGATCCTGGCGATTGTCTGGAATGTACTCGGCCAGCACATGGACGGGCGGCAGCCCAATGCAGGCCTCCGATGGCAGATTCATTTCGTTCTGCAAGGAATTTCAAATTGTTATCGACGATCTGAGCACAGAGCTATCCCCCGCCCTCCCACTCACCTGAATCTTCGTGTTGAAGCTCAGCGTATGCGTGGGCAAGTCGATGACAAATTTCGCCCTCTGGCCCGTGACGCCCATGGAACTGACATGATTCATGCGATACTGGGCCTGCAGCGAGGGCAGCAGAGCGGCATTGATGGACAGGCTCTGCAGGAGTATATTGAACTGCATGACCAGCGGCTGGAGCAGCCCATTCTGATGCTGTGCCGCCGCTCCACCCGCCCTCGATTGGGCCATGTGAGCGGCACGTCGTGCCGCCTGCTGCGGCTGCTGCTGTGCCCCCCCGCCGCCGGAGACGGTGCGTTCGCGCATTTCGCTGGCCACACCCGCGCCACTGCTGGCGCCACCCGAGTTTCGGGCATGGAATGGAGACTCTGGCTCTTCGGCCGTAAACGAACGCAGTGTGGAGCGACCCGAATTGCGTTTTACTCGCAGCTCTTGGATGGTGGACGACAGCTGCTTGGAACTGCGCGTCATCATGCCGTGCAGGGCCACCGGATGCTGCGGGATGTCTATGTTAACAGCACCGATCGAGAGCAGGCCGCTGTTCTTGTCCTTGCCACGCTTGGAGAGGCTCGAGTAGAGCGTCTGGCTCTTGCCCACCGTTACCTTCACCACCGTTCTGCAATCGAAACAAGAGTTAGCCATGCCCTACAATAAGGGGGTGTCCTTTTGCTATACTTACTGCTGACTGGGAGCCACACCTTCCAGCAGGACAATCATGGCGCGTCCCACTTGTCCCGTGAGTGAGCATTCGAGGCTGACGGGACGCGCCTTCTTGCGCCACGTGGCCGTGCTGTTCAGCGTGGTGATCTCCGACTCGAGCTTGAGCCCGGAGAGGGTGGCCAGCAGTCGGGTCTTGTGGATCTTGGCCACGCCAAAGACAATCAGACGAGTTCGCTCCTGGGACGGCCCATCGATGATCAGCATCTCGCGATGCTGCGGCAATGGAGTGGGCGCACTGGTCAAATCATCCTCATCGTTGACAAACGCCGACGGCTTCTTGTGTTCATTCAGGGAGCTCCTCTGGACCACAGTCTTGGTCTCTGGCATCGTGCCGTACAGCTCCAGCAGATGGTAGATGGTCTTCCAGCAGTTGGGCGTCTCCAAGAGGGGCGCCATCGAGGACATGCCCTTGGTCAGAGTGTTCTGGTAGTCGCCGCTCATGCTGGTGGCACAGCCGCCGTTCAGCGAGGCCTTCGATTCGGTGGCCAGCTTGAGGATGTTCTGCTCGTGCAGCGACATGGTGGGACTGTCCCGCAGAGGCGACGAACTCGACTCATTGAGATTGGTGTAGCCCAGCTTGCCCTTCACCGACTTGCCCGTGGAGCGCAGCTTCTGGGCGAAGCTCTGTGGACGATTCTTGGCATTTGGCGACGGAGTTAACTGTATGATGGGCGCGAGGCCACCCGGACGCGTACGAGCCGCTGGCATTGTGGGCATCGTCTCGTTGAACTTGTCGTAGCGCTCATCCGAATAGCTCTCGCCATGGCCAAACCGTTCAGAGACTGAATTAAAGCCGAGGATATCCGTGGGCTCCGAAGCTGCAGGAGAAGAAGGAAAACTCTTAAGGAACTGCTTTAAATGTTATGTGCATAATGAAGGCTCACCCAAACTACATTCATCCTTGGTCTGACTCTTTTTGCTCAGCTCTGGGTGATCGTGGAACTCATTCTGGGCATCCTTCACATTCTGATACATGTTGCAGATCTGATGGAGCAGCCGCAGCAGCGGCATGTTCACCTGCTGCGAAATGAACCTCACATTGAGATTGAAATTGATCACAGTACTCGTGTGCTTCTTCAGCTGTCGCCGCGACATGTAGATGACATTCTGTCGGGCCTGATCCACCGCTCCATCGGACATTTTCAGCACCTCCAGCTCAACGCCCACGCGCTCGCACAGGAACAGCGGTGTGTCCATCATAATGGAGGCCCTGCCATTCGATTTCTTGTTCAGTTTTGCTGGCTTCTGGGCTGGATTCTTCTTGTCGCCCGCCTCGCTCACGACAATGTCCACGCGAATGGAATCGAAAGTGCCGATGAGCGAGAGATTTGTGCCGAAATTCTCCAGCGAAGAGATGTCTGCATTCGAGAACTTGTTGATCATCTGCTGGGGCATCACGCCCAGGCAGGTGAGCAGCGGCTCAAAGATCAAATGAGCATCCAAAAGCTTGATCGAATCCTGCATAATGCCACTGCGCGTATGGGTTTGTCCAGGGATCTTCGGTGGCGCGGGACGAGCGTGCTCTTTCTCGGCCAAGTGCTCTTTCTTTTTGTTGTCCTGCTGCTTGGCCATCCAGAAGTAGAGATCCTCCTTGTGACTCTCGGCACCCAGCCAGAATTTGTTCACCGAATTGGTGGAACTGAGAGAACCCTCCTGAAGCGCTCCATACTCTGCAGAGGGATTTATGTATATATTAGCAAGGAATCCCTTGGAGGATGTTCTTTTGATACATACCAAATTCAGGCACTTGCTTCTCCACCAGCCCCGAGATAATGGGCAACATTTGTATGCTGGAACGAGATGAATTGCCGTGTGAATAATTCGAGGCTTTGCTGTGCACTTTGTTCAGCCTAAAGCGTAGCGCGGATGCAGCAGGAATGCAGGGTGCAGGGGTGCAGAGATGCAGCGCAGAACAACAAATGGCAGGCATGAGAAGCAATTGTGAGTAAGCAATTCCCGATCATGTACTGGGAAAGATGAAAACTTACCCACGACGCGGGTTATGGATGTTCGGTGAGGTTGAGGTCGAACGCTGGGAGGCAGCTCCATGGTGGCCTCCCGCTTCATGGCTATACGAGAGTCCGCCATATTGATTGTTTTCTATGGATGTGAAGGATATAGGGAATTTGATGAGTAATAATTTGGCACACATTTCCGATTTCTGATATTTTTCTTCACTTTTGTGTTTGGAAGGTTGTACAGTAAACGAACGTGTTAAAAGAGCACACATACATATATCACATGTACGAGTATACGATTATAACGCCAGTGTACCAAAACATCTGTAACAGTATCGGTACCATTCGGTATATATATATATATATATATATATATGCACCATTGATAGAACTAGCTATAGAACTATATAACTTTCTGCAAGGCCTTTGGCTAGGCTATGTTCGAGTTGAGCCGCGTCATGAGTGCATTTGACTGGATGTGTGGAGACCTGCTCTCACACATATTAGCTATGACTGCTGGCGGTGGAAACTGAAACTAAATTTCATTCTCAGTTTCTTTGCTCACATGCCCTTTAGAATTGTTTAGAGAATTATGACACATTCAGAAGAAGCTTGCCCCAAAGGCCTATGGAAGGAAGCTTTACTAGAAAGTTCTGTTTTACTTTCCGTATATAAACTGGCACATCTACATGCTGCATACTTGGTGGCGAAACTGAAACGTGTAAAAGTATCAAAAACTATCCGAAAACTATAAAAATATTAATCAATAGTCGCTGTTCGCAGGGAAAGTTAAGCTCATAAAAGATTTTTAGCGATATATGTAAGTGATATCTCTATGTGAATGCGCTTCACTCTATGGAGGAAGAAAGCACAAACAGTGCCGCCTCACAGGGTCGTATTATATCTTTAACAAAACTATTCTAAGATTGTAGCCACATATCCCACGTTTTAAAGATATTTTTCAATAATTTAGCGAGACGTTAGTCGTCGCTTGGTTTTTTGTTCGCCTAATGCTATATTCTGAGTTCGTTTGCAAAGTTTTACCCATTTCAAAGTCCTTTTACGAACATTTTACGATAGTTTAGTTCGTTTTTGTGTCCACTGAGAAGTTCCGTTTAGTGTACAACACATTTATAGTTATAAATTTAGTTCTATATAGAGGATAGATTATAGCCAGAAAGGATAGAATAGAGTATAGTTTGTATTGTAGTACGAGTACGAGTACGAGTATAGTGCAAACGCAAAAGCATCAAACAACATATGAAGTGTGAACACTTAAAGCATTTGACAACGTGTGTGTGTGTGTGTGTGTGTGTGTGTGCGAGAGGGGGGAGTGTAAAAAGAGAGAGAGATTTAGAAGTAAGGAAAATTGAAGGGAAAATAGTGGGCAGAGTAGATCAAGGCTAAACAAAGGAGATATAAACAAAGGGAGTAACTAGAGAGAACACACATTCAAAAAAAACGTGCAAAAAGAGTGGAAATAGGAAACAGGAAAAGGAGGGATAGAGATAGAGGGACACAGGTTAGAGAACTATACATATAACTAGGTTAAGAGGAGAGAGAGAGAGTAAACCAGAGAGAGAGAGAGCGTTAATCAAAAAAATACCAATGTGAGTTCGATGATGCTGTGTTTGCCCAAGTAATAAAGCATTCTCACTCTCTTCCGGATTCTCGCCGACGCCCGCATAGGCGCCCATTTCAACATCACCTTCGCACTCATCATTCTCCGCCTCCTCCTCGTTCTGCGGAAACGAGAATGTCACATTGATGGGACGCGCCAGCTTGTTCTTGTACTGATGCTCAAAGAGTATCGGATTGTACAGGGTATTCTTCCACTGGCGACTCAGCACAATGATGCCCTGCAAAGGAATCGTGTCATAAAATTGCTCAGAGAAAAGAGACACTTCCCATTGAGGGCGGCTCTCACCTGTCGCAGGGTGTTCAGATGCGGCACATCTCCCTGCTTGAAGATCGGCTCAATGCGCTGCACGCCCTCGTCCAGGACCAGTTTCTGCATAATGTAGCACAGCTGGCAGCTGGGATCCTCTTGCAGCGTCTTCGACAGCAGCGTATAGTTGTTGGCATAGCGACTCTACAGAAGTATTGTTGCAGTTTCAGGTCAGTCTCAAGCATAAAAAAATGTTGCCTCACCTTCTTGATCTTTGGATTCCGTTGGATCTTCTCGTTGTCCATGGCCTCTGCCATGAGGCAGGCAGCCACTGCCGTCTGTCGCGTGTGCAGCGCCTTGAGCACGGCTACCACTTTGATGGCCAGCCGATTGCTGGGATTCATCCAGGCGGTGATGGCGGGCGAGGCAGTGCTCAGCAGGTTCCAGTCGAGACGCGTCAGATCGATCTTCCGCGTGATAGGCACACACGGCGGTGCCGCAAAGTTGAACCACACGGCCTTCAGTTCGATCACACAGGAGGAGGTCTTGTCGGTTTCCTTGACGTTCGAGAGCACCTTGTCGTAGGCATCCTTGGAGTTGCTGCCACCGGCTGCCCCGCTCTTGGGAGCACCCGGATTGCCTGTCGTCGTGGGTCCCTTTTCCACATCCTCGTCTGGCGGTTTGGGTGTGGATTTCCGCTGGTCAGCCCCAGAGGTGGAGCTCTCGCCCGCTATGACGTTGTCCAGGCCGTGGTGGAATTTCTCCTTGGGGGTCTTTGGTGTGGGTGGCTTTTTGGTGATCATGCGCCAGGCGGCCTCCGCCTTGGATGTGGCACCAGCATCCGAGGAGGCTGCTGCTGCCCCTCCCTCGTTGCCTGACCCACCCTGACCCACAAGATCGTTGAGGTTGAAGCCGCCGCTGGCGGACACACCCTCGCCCCCTGCGCCCGCCATCTCGGCCAGCTCTTCCTTGCTGTTCTCGGACTTTTCAAAGTGCGAACGCTTCACGATCTTCACGCCCACGCCCTCCAGGCCGCACTCGAACATGATGTAGCCGATGCTCTCGATGCCCGTGCTCTCGGGCATCTTCAGGCACTCGAAGAGCACCTTGCTCTTGTGCTCCGGAATGGCAGTGACAATGATGGGTGAGTCCTGGGCACAGGACTGGCCCTCCGTCTTCAGGCGACGCAGCTGCGCATGCGCCCGTCCAATGTCGAGGGTGATGACGAGCTCCTCCAGCTGCTTCTCGGATGTCTCTATGAGAATGGGCTCCCCCTGGACATTGTCCGGACGCGTCTGTGAGGAAAGGTGCGCCAGCAGGGCACGCGTTCCCTTCATAATGCCGCCCTTCTTGTGGCTGTTGCCCGACTGCACCGTCTGCTGGATGTACACGTTGTGCATGGAGGCACGCGTCGTCTTGCCCAAATGGAACTTGGTGGAGATCCCCTCCATGTAGAAGGTCAGCAGCGAGACGCAGCTGAGATCCTGCCAAGCAAATGTTTAATTTGTTTAATTCTGTTTTCGTTTCGAGAGCGCAAAAACTCTCACCTGAACATTGTCCAGAGCTGCCACGGATATCACTTCCTCCACAATGGAGGACTGCAGCATCGTAATGCTGACTTTTGGCAGCACAATCAGCCCCTGTGTCTTGGTCGAAATGCTCTCCTCGTACACATCGCTGAGGAACGAGTCTCCGGGTCCCTGCAGATGTCGCTCTGTGGTGGATCGCTTCGAGTTGGAGTGCACCTGCGACCAGTAGCTCAGGCTCTGGTCTCTCTTCAGTATGTTGTCGTTGTTCACCTTGGCAATGCACGACGTGTGAATGAAGTTAACGACTGAGAGCAGGTGCATTGACTGTATGGTGGGTATGGCAGCCTCAACCATTCTGGAAGGGGATATAAAAATAGGATAAATATTTTAATACATTTAATACATAGGAAATAGCTAATGGCGTAGCCTGAAGTAAGAACCGAACTATTGTCACATAAGAGTCCTGTACTTTTATCGTTCGCTTTCAGCTGGCAGCAGCATTCCAGCTGCTCTGGCGCTCTTACTTTTTCTATCTTTTGCTCTCATTCTAAGCTTCGTTTGCATTGAGGATACGCGTAGGCCATCGGCTCGCCTGCTCTTGCAATTAGCCTTGAATGACTTTGTCTTGAATTCGATCGAAACCTTCATCTGTGAACTAATTCTGGAACCTATCTCGATACCTAACAATAAACTGCAGGTACTGTAAATATATTCAACTGAACATAAATCGAATATTAATAACTAAAAAGGTTTACTAACTGAACCGTAACTTTTTCAACGCACAAATAATAAAATGAAATCCCAAGTAGGCTTTGCAATTAGTCATAAGATATATAAATTCAGGTTTCATAAATAGAAAATGCTTTTATTGCGCATTTATTTGCTATATTCCATAGTTCCTTTTTTATTACTGCACGCGTATCCCATGGTGAGTATCCATCCCATGTTTGGAGGAATCTCTGTGCCCAAACTAATCCATGGACTCAATCACAGGCACAACATGCTCAGCGATACTCTGAACCACACAACTATCCTGATCTGACAGCAGGCCTAACCGATGGCGAGGTTCAGGCTGCCCTGGACGGTCTATCCCTGGAAGATCTGAACCGGCTGGACAGGCTATTGGATGAGCATAGCAATCACGATGAAGATGCCAACACGGACTCGGAGGGTGAGTGTTTGCAGATGAGAATGAGATTTTATCACCTGTTGGAGAGGCCTTTCAAAGCAAGCAAGTCAAGGAAACCAGTTCAGGCAAGCTAAGGGCTCGAATGAGCAGGTCTTTGACGATCTTCTGGCCTCGGAGGACCATCTCGATGATGGCTGCAAGGACGAGGACGAGGGTGAGGAGAAGAAGCCCAAAAATCTCTGCACCAAGCGACCGCCTTGCCCAAATTCCACACGCTTGAAAACTGGGCAAACCACCTGTGAACCCCCCGATTCAACATCAGAGTGCCCCCATAAGAAAACTTCCTCCAAGAACAAGCCGGACGACGAAAACATGGATTCTCCCGTCGACATGTCCAAGTGCCAGAAGACCAAGAAAAAGCCGAGCAAGCCCAAGCCGACGGTCAAGAGCGATGAAGACTGCAACGCCGATGATTTCGAGTGTCTGGAGAGATTCCGCGAAAGAGATTACCCCAAAATGTGGAAGCACTCGCCACTCGACTACGACGAGGAGAGGGCCGATGGGTCCTCGGCTTACGTTCCCCCCCAAGAGCTGGCCGGCATCGAGCAACTGGATGAGGAGATTCTCATGCCATTTCTGGATGGAGAACTAAAGGAAGATCCGGTCGAGCAGGGTGAATGGAAACCTATGGCTGCCGAGGGGGAGGAGGAGGCGGAGGCTCCATTGGAGCATACAGAAACCTACGAGCGGCATCGTCTCTCGCGAATGGCACACAGAAAGCGAAAGCATGCCAAAGCACAGCAGGAGAAACCGATCCCTTACGATCCCATGGAAGAGAGACCACAGCTCACTGCTGCCGACAGGTTGGCCATTCACACACGTTTCCATTTGCATTTCGGTACTAATTTTGTTGCAGTTTCCTGGCCAGCAATGAGCGGGAGCCGATGCGCTACCTCATCCAGATGGAGAACGGCAACATCGAGAGCCCGAACGAACTTGGCGAGCAGAGGCTACGGGAGGATCACAGCCAGAGCGAGAATCTTACACTGCAGAAGCGTACACAGGAAATGAACAGCGACAGCCAGGGGGGACAGGATCCCAATGAATATTTCGACTTCAGGCGAATGAAGCGAGAGAACAAGCGAACGGACGATGCGCCAGATGTGAGTTTTGATCCTATATCTGTCCATACTATAGACCACGCCTCTTTAGAACTCTAAGGAGACCTATATGAAAAAGCTAATGGACTCCTTTCCACGCGATCAGGGCGGTCAGAGCAATGACGATATGGAGGCCCTGCAAGAATCGATTTCCGCTCACTTGCGCGTCAAGCGAAGTTGAGTTTTATGTTGATGTTTAAAACCGTGAAGCGTAATTGTTTTTATCACGATAATTATAAATGTGATTATATTTTTTAACCCATAAATTGATAAAGCAGAAAGCTTGTTTGTTTGTCTACTCGTGAATCGATTTTCCATGTGAATAATGAACCAAATGATTGATGTTCTCTGTACAACATTTCCTCAATATACGAACCTTTGCAATCCCTCCAGCAGAAGCGGCGTGAGAAAGATGTTTAGTTGTCCCTTTAGCCTGGCCACCACAGATGTACAGGCTGCGCCTCCTTCCGCCTGCAGACTCATAAACTCGCCATCATCAAAGCCATTTGTGGTCTTGTCCGCCTCCTCTTCCTTCAGCAGAACACTGGGATCCCAGGGATGGGACTTGGGTCCACCCATGAATGTGGCCGAGCTGTTGCTTCCCGTGGCATTCTCGTAGCGTGGCACCACCTTGATCTCACGCCAGCACGAGTACAGATCGAAGTGGGGCAACATTTTGCTGCCAATGTAGGTTAGACCTCCATCTTCGTTCTCGCTGAAGAGCGGCGTGGAGAAGACATCCGGGCCGAGCGGAAAGGAGCAGGCATTCCAATTGAAGCACTTGACCTGCGACAAATGATTCAGATAGCTGGCCATCAGCAGCGGCGAGTCAATGATGGGTCGATTGACCTGCTGATGGAGATTCACCAGAGCCACATCCTCCTGCGATGACATGGCAGAGATGAAGGAGTTGGACGACAGCGATGGAGTGCCCGACGAGGAGCCGCGAGAGTCCGCCTGTGGAACAGTCAGTGGAAAAGAGAACGTAGAGATTACTAAAGGAGTTCGCTTTGTGGTTAATCTACAACTAAATAATAGCCAGAAGGCAGAAGCCAGAAGCCAGAAAGTGGCGCAAGCACAAGAATTATGGAAAGAAAATTTCATGTAAGGTTGCGAAAAAACTCAACCTAGGACTAGTTAGGATTAGGATTAGAGATTAGACCAGAATACCAATCGATGCATGCACTAAAACTGTCTGACAGACATTCCATGCAAATGTCCATCACCTGAAAATCGTATGTAAATTTTTTCGGAAAATCTATAGATATGAAAATCTTGCACCAAATTAATAAACATCTACAGATACATTGAGATTTTGTGGCTCTACTGTCTAAGAGGTTTTCTTTTGTTTCTTTGTTTGTTTCAGTTGGAAACTAAGAACTACTCACATCATGAACAAAATGTCGGTACTCAGGTCGTGATGAGATATTTGTTATTTGTTTTCTTATTGGTGTGGCAAGACCGTGAATGCGTCTCGCGTCTTCGTTCTGGATGAGTTTTTTTGTATTTGTTTTTGGTTTTTATTTTTTGTTTGTTGGTTAATTAATTTTTGATTTAAGATGAAGATCGAGGAATTTTGAGGAGAGGAATAGAATTTAGGTGTGTTTTATAGTTACAGATTTATGGCACGGTTTCTCAATGTTCAGTTAAGAGAAGTAAGGAGATTGAATGTTAACTGAACATTGAGAAAACGTCACTTAAGAGTTATATACCAGCCCTGTTCCACTGAGACACGCACATTCGTTGAATGACATTGATTCCGTGTACAAATTTCCACTAAGTGAAATGCTACACAGTTTTTGTACGCTGAGTTAATCGAAAGTTATCGGAATTATCGCTGAACGACTTTTGTTGTCTTAGAAAATTTCCCATTAGTGAAAGGATACATTCGACACGAGCAAACCCCATGAGTAATTCTAGTATTTTTACGATGTAGTACCGATGTAGAATGACGTTGATTTGCAGTAGAAATTTCCCATAAGCGAAAAGGTAAATTTGCAATGAGTGATTTTGGTATTTTTCGCAATGAAATACTAGAAAGTTTTGAATATAAACATATAAACATGATTTTAGATGAATATTGATAAAAAATTTCAACAGTTATAGCAGCAGTCGTTTTATAAGACACGAACAAAGAGCACTCGCCTCGAATAATAGTATTTTACATAGAAAAGCTCGATCGAAATGATGCATAGTTGATTTTTCGTTTCTATTAATCAGAAATATCAAGTATTATAGGAAAAGTACAATTAATAGGTGAAAATCTATCTTTCAAAAGGAATGAACCGAAAGTACTGCTTTGAACCAAAATCATCCACGAATATCCAGTGTTCTGCTAATGGAACTGTGGTATTAGATAAATATAATAATACTAATAGATAGATAGTTAAGATAGATCTTAGGTTTAAAGACCAAAGCATGCATTGGACAGAGTTATTCAGAATCTCTTTTTATGCCGCTTTCTTTTGCCGAGTGAGATTTTTGGAGAAATGGTGACACAGAAAGGCAGATACAAAACTTGGCTTCAAAAGCAGCAAAGCGAAACGCGGTTCGTGTATAAATGTATGTATATATTATAGTTAATGAATAAATCTCCCTAGCATATAGGACACATAAACGCTCTTTAGTTTTACCAGTTCTGTGGTGCTCTGCGGCCGCTTGGGCAGTGTCTTATTGCCATCGGGGGGTGCATGGATCTCCAGATCGCTGCGATATGTGGGTAGCGTGTGGCTGCCATTCTCGTTTTGAGCACCAATGCTGCACGAAAAGGAAAGGGAAAGCGGATTACATTTATTGATACATGATCCTCAAGTAATCCTCGTAATAATCAACCTCAAATCTGAAGAGAAACGCTTTCTGCCAGAGAGCACAACGGATCCGCTGTTGGCACTGTTTCGCTGCTTCATGGATCCACGCTGCGACATCACATTCGATATGTCCTCCTCGGCGGAGAAGAACATCTCCGAGGGATTCTCCGACGTCAAAGATATGGTGCGCTGCACCTCTCGCGGCAGCTGCTCGCCCAGTGCCTGGCAATGCAGGGCGATGTCGGCAATCTCAAACTCCAGGGGATGCGAATGCGGTGCCGAATGCGACATCTCATCGGGCATCTGCAGGGGAACAAACTCAAGTTTTAGTTTCTTTTGTGTATTGAAGGATTGACCCACCTCATGCTCATCATCCAGCGCCTCGCCCGTCAGTCGCGAGTCCGAGATGCTAGTCTTGGGCGGCGACACTCGCAGCCTGTTCGAATCGGAGCCGCGTCGCTTGATGTTTACGCCTGCATCGCCTGCAGCTGCCTCATGCTGCTGCAGCTGTAGCTTCTTGGAGGGGCTATCCAGCAGGCGGGCATAGGGCACTTCCACGGAGGTCTGGCGCGTGCAGGGATACCGCTTGCTGCGCCTCTCCAGTGTGTTGGGGGATCCGATGCTCTCCCGTGACTTGTGGCGGCTGCTCAGCTCTGGTTTCTCCACAGCGGCACTGGCACAGCCTCCGATCTTGAACTTTGTGCCGTCTGGCATTGAGCAGTGCTCCGATTTCTTGAGGCTTCCGCCATTCCGCAAATCCCCCCCAGCGGGCCTGTACAGCCGACCCTTGCCATTGAAATCGGCCGCATCGTAGAGTGAGACACAGTGCAGGCTGTAGGGGGGCGTGTGGAAGACCAGTTGTCCTTGGTGGAGTATACTCTCGCCGAAGCCAAAGTCCTTGTTGTTATTGATGATGCTGTTGGGGCAAAGGGAAGTAAGTAATACTCTGGCTCATTCTTTCGATCTGGTCAGGGACACTCACAAGTAACGCGCTATGTTGTAATTGTCATGGACATCCTGTGCCGTGGGCTTAAAGAACTTCTGACCATTCCGATTGCTGCCAAAGAAAGCACAGCCTCCGATGCAGCCACAGCGTGAGATCTCTGTGCTGGAGGACAAGGCACTGCCGTTGTTGGACCACAAGAACCACAAACGCTTGAACTTGGCATCGTGTTCGCGCAGGAAACTGGACGAGCGAAAAATGAAGGAAAGGCTTAAAAGGATGACCACTAAATGTAAATTTCCCACTCACTTGTGCTGCACCAGATGCAGCTCATGATCGGGTATGGGCAGTGCCGATGCTCCCTCCAGCAGTATGGGTCCCAGGGAGGTGCAGCCCACTTCCACCCAATTCTCGGACAGATCTGCCGTCTCTGGGGTGCGCTTGGCCTGCGGCTCCGAGAAGCTATCCCGCAGCCTGCGCGTGGCCTCATCTCGTGAGTCGCGACGCGACTGGGAAAACGAATTGGAGCTCCTTTTACCCGCAGCCTTGGCATGCGGCGGCGCATGATCCTGAGACTTCAGCGAGTCCTGGTCCGCACGACGCAGCTTGCCCGAGCGATTGCTGCCCGTGGTGTTGGTGTTGTACGATGGCGTGGTAGCATGCAGCATGAACAAACGCAGCAGAATGGAGGGCAACAGACCAGAGATACCCGACTTTACCCGCTGGCCGTGCAGATTGCAGTTGGCCAGGCGAATGGGCGATATCCAGGCATGCAGTGCCGTGCCGCTCTCTATCAGATAGACATCGACGGCATCCACCGACACCCTCGTCATCTTGTACTTGATGTCCTCCGAGGAGGGGCACTTGTACTTCTTCTCCTCCTTGGTTTGGGGACACAGATTGCTCGGCACTCCGTGGTGGCAGTTCCGCACCGTTTTCGGCGACTTGAGGCAGTTCTCGGGGTCGATGGCGAGCAGAATGAGCGTCTCCAGCCCCGTTACAACATTCACGAGCTGCGGAAGCGTTAGTTTGCCGGTAAGCTTGCCCAGTTGCACTTCGACCAGCCACGAATATTCCAGCGTGTCCTCGTCCAGGGCGCATCCCTCGTTGCTGAACATCGCATGGCCACGCACCTGAACGGCCGAGAGCAGCAGGTGTCCCTGATTGATGTGCTGCTCCCGCTGCGGCCGCTGGACACTGTCGGATGCCAGCAGATAGGAGGGGCTGACGAGCACCTGGAGCGTCGTCTCGTGGTAGCGTTTGTTCATCTCGAAGCCGAAACGCTCGATCAGCACCACCGGGCAGGGGGGATCGTCCTCGTTGCAGTTCTTCATCACATGCGCCTGAATGTCGTGCACAATCACGGACACCATCACCTCCAGCGGCCGATAGAGACGCGGATCGAAAGGTTTTCGCTTCTCCTCGGGCACCTGCACCTCCGAGATGGACTTGTTGGCCAGCTCCTTCTCTTTGGCCAGCAGCTGATCCTTGGGATTGAGTGCTGGTGGCTCCTTGAGATTCACATTCGACTGCTCCATGTCCGTGAAGCTCTGATCCTCGCCGAAAATGTTCTCCTTCAGGCTGATAAAGTTGCGCAGCACATTGCCGTAGGCCATCAGCACAGAGCTGCCGATCTCCAGCTCCACGGTGACATGATCCGCCGGAAGGGTGCCCGGATCGAATTTGCTAAACTGCTCCGGGGGCTGCTGCCAGCTGCTGACTGGGGACTTTCGCACCTTGGGTATGCGCATGGGACTGAGGAGTATCTCCTCCTTCTCGGGCGTGGTGATGTCCGCCTGAGGATCGGGTCCCAGCGGTGGCACCGGATGATACACATACTGAATGGACAGCGCCAGGATGGGCACCGCCCAGCAGTCGATCCAACCAGCGGACCGCTGGCAGATCTTGCGCCACTTTTTCGTGTAGAGCTCCGGCCGACGGCAGAGCTTACCCTCGCGGGTCAACAGTCTTGCATTCTCGTCTATGGCTAAAACTATGGGACGCACCGAGGAGACCTCGGGCACGTACAGACTCAGGTCGAGGCCCTCGCCGTGGATCCAGAACTTCAGCGTCACCGTCTTGGGCAGGAAATCGTCAAAGGGCAGAGCAAAGCTCATCTCGAAGACATCGCCGCAGAAGGCCAGATGATTGTTCTCCTGATTGGCGCTGCTGCAGTCGATCCAGTTGTACTCGTTGCACAGCATCAGGATCTCGAACTCGTGCAGGCGGATATTCAAATTGCACGTGTACGGCACAAAGCTGAGGATATCCGGCCGCGCCTTGTTCGCCCAGTCCTCGATGAGGTCCTGGAAGAAGCACTTGTGCTTGTACACAATAAATGCGCTCGTCTTGCACCCGGCCAGCGATACGCTCCAGTCCTGCGGTGCATTCCACTTGGTTGGATAATGGATGCGCACCTTGTACTCCAGGGATTCGAATTCCGCGAGACTCCGATACTGCAGCGAGGTGGTGGCCTCCACATGGAAGAGCTGTCCCTGGATCTTGGATGTATATCCGTCGGGCAGCGTGATCCAGGGGATGGTCACCTCCACATAGGAGGCCGGGCCCACAGTGATGTGCATGGCATTCGTCTCCTTTTCCTTCGAGAAGAGTATGTCGATGGTGGCCTCGTTCAGGACACACAGCGTCACATCGAAAGACTGATAGCTGCGCAGCTCCCCCGGCTGGGGTGTGGGTGTGATCTCCCCCTCCTTCCAATCGGATGGATAGAAGTACTTGTACAAATGATCCCGCTGTCGGTCGGCCCATGGGCCGTAGCTAAAGTCCGTGCCCTTGAGGCAGTGCGCATTGATGCCCCAAACAGGCGGCGAGGGCTCCACCACATCGCCATTGGGCAGCATTATCTGCACGGGCTGCTCGGGCACCACACCCGGCTCATCCATATAGAAATAGAGATCCATTTGGTTGGACATCATCACCACAAAGCCCTCGCCCATGTACCGTGGGGGCTCGTCAATCAGGCCCGTGTACTTGGGACTCGGACAGAAGAGCACCTTGGCGTTCTCCACCTTGGCCTTCACAAAATGCATGAAATGATCGAGAGGACACACAGCCGGCTTGGTGCTGTACGTGCAGTGGGCCTCCTCCACGGATATGGACAGTGTGGTGGGCGTCAAACGATTGCCAAAGACAAAGCGACCCGAACAGATGTCAATCTTGATGACCGGTATGAGATCCCGCCACGTGGTGGCCTGCATAGCCTCCGAATTCTTAACACTGTTCACCCGCTGACTCTGACGGGCATTCTCCAGATTCATGTTGTGCTCCTTCAGCTTATTCCGCTCCTCGTTGCTCAGCACATCCGTGGGTATCAGCAGCGACGGCTCCAGCCCGAAGGTCTTCTCCAGCTTATCGTAGAGATCGGATCGATTGTAGATATGCAGTTCGTAGCCATTCAACTGAACGGACAGACGTGTATCGGAATGCGAGAGATCTGCGGGAAGGCGGAAAATAAATAAATATATTTAAGACATTTTTGGACTCCTTTGCTTACCCTCGGACACATCCTTGGGCACATAGGAGCGCCACCAGCGGAATATAAAGTATCCATCCTGCGCCCGCACCGTGTAATCGTAGCTGATGTACACAAAGTCCCGGAACATTATCTTCCCCGCCAGCGGATTCAGTGACACGGATCCGATCTTAAAGTATGCCCCCTTGATGAACCATCGATTGGCTATCTTCGTTATGAGCATCCCGATCACACGATGGTTGTAGAACGTGATGTACGTCACCCAGGTGATGGTCGTCAGCAGCGAACAGAGTAGCCATATCTAATAGAAAGGATCAGAGGAACGATCGAGGCAGTTTAAATAAAGAAAAGCAAATATATATTCCTGAAAGAATATCCTAAAAGAATACCGGCGAATGCAATGACTGAAGCTGTGCGACATGCCAAAGGTCAACCAAATCGAACTAAGAGTATGAGAGCGTCCGCTTTATCGTTGATGTCCGTAAGACCTCTGAGGACGTGAACGCAATAACGACCACATAACACGGCTGACCCAATAAAATAATTTAAACATCGCAAATTCTTTTTCAAAATATTTATCTTCAGTAATTCATATATATTTAATTTCCTTTTAATTAAATCCAAACTTGGTTGATTCCGTGGTTGCGCTCGATTTCAAAGATAATGGGTCCGAACAGAATGAGAGGGACTGTGGCTATCATCCATGAGCCACTGCACACTTTCTGGACGCCCGTCACGGTTGCTTTGGCGACTTTGGAAGCCGTGTTACGAACCGACTCTGGAAACAATTCTGTCAATCCCCAGAGCCGCTCACCAGCCGACTCGTTGGGCTCGTCGTCGTAGTTCGAATCGGACATTTTCCTTAGTTTTAGAATTTTTTTTCAGCCTGGATAAAATATTCTCAGTATTTTGAGCAAAACGATAGCACACAAGTGCTTGAATATGATCTAAAACTTAAAGGCAACTCTTTATTCGTTTTTTGTTTATTATAACCGAATTCGAAGAGTTAAGTGGTATATTAGATTTGTGGTAAAAGTGGATGTGTTTAATGCACAGAAGGAAACGTTTCCGACCCCGTAAAGTATACATATTTGATCAGCATCAGTAACGGAGTCGATACAGCCATGTCTGTCTGTACGAGGAGGAGGAGATGTAGATGAAAGATGTAGCAACAAACATTTTAACAGATAAAATATTTAAAGATTCCACACAAATCATATGATCACATATATATGTGTATGCTGCTGATTACGGGTATAAAAGTAGAGTCGCGGTCACTGCAGCTACTCTCAACAGGGAACGTCGTTTTTTGTTTGTTTTTTGTTCATAAATTTGTATTTTACTGGACATATGTACGTACATAAATATACGTACATACTGGTAAATTTCTTACAGTCACTCGGCTTTTAGTGATTCGGGGTGATCTGAATCTGACTGAAGGAAGGACTCATGATCTTCCTGCAGGGGTCTAGTACGCACTCTCGACGGTCTCACCGCCAGAGTGTGGGCTTGACCAGAGGACACACAGAAATGAATATAAAAAAATATAGGTAAATAAGATCTTTTTTGAAAATTTTGCGAAATTTAATTGACAGAAATTGTTTGAATTACATTTGTGTCTTCGAAGGGCTACAATCAATTATCAAGTCCAGGTGAGCAAAACGAGAATACCTAACCATACTCCTAAATATGTCTGTTTGTTAAAATCAAACTTACAGATTGACCAGATCTTTCAGATCAAGATCACACTTAGAGCAACACCATTTCCGTATGATATGTATGGGGGCATCGGTGTAAATGGTGCCCGTAAATTCATTCTCGAAGCCGTCCTTGATGATGGTGCAGCCATTAGCAATCTCGTAGTTCCAGTGCTGGCCCGCCAGTCCTAAGTTGTGCCAGTTATAGAGTTCCGGGGCGGCAGGTGCATTGTGTGCCCGTCCCGTGTACGGATTCACAAAATCCACCCAGTAGTTGGCCTCTGCGAGGCTCATCGATTCTTTGATTGCCAGCTCGAGGAAGCTCTTGATGGCTAGGTCCACATCGCAGTTGAACTTAAGGCTGATGGTGGTGAAGTTCATGGAGTCCCTGAATCCCTGATAGCCCTCGCAGTTGCGGTAGAAGATTGACTTCAGATAGGAGATCAGCAGCTTTGGCATCGGCTGCACCGTCAACTCAAAGTCTCTGCACAGGCGCTGCCCATTGCGGGACATCACACCGTTCTTCTTCAGCAAGAACATCTGATCCGTCTTATTGTGGTCATGGTTAGCCGGCGCCACCAATTGCGGGAACAGGAACATCTCCGGACACTGAAGCGACGGAAAATTGGGATGACATGGACCGATTTTCTCCTCATCCGACAGTTCAATCTCCCGCGGATCGTCCACCACAAAGGTGGGTTCTGGTAGGCTGCTTTTTCTGCTGGCCAAGCGGCAAAGATTTGTTGAGGACTTGCTGCTGCTGCAGACAGCACGGCCCAGCATACCCTTGGCGTTGCAGTGCACAGCCCACGATGAACCTCAGTGACATCATAATTTACAATGAATTTAGCAAACAAACAAAAAACGTTTAAAGGTAAGAAAAAACCAGAAATTTAGGCGCGTTCTTGAATGAAACGTAGCGCTAAATTAAAAGCGTTCGTTCAGCGTTCGTTCTATTGTTTGTTACTCGATTTTTGACATTCGAATCATACTTTTTTGATTGTAAATAAGGGAAAAAATTTTGACGAATTAAATGTACATGAACATCAGACGGGGTTTGAGTTGAACTGAGATTGAACTGAGATTTTTCCAGCCTAGATATTTCGGAGTTGCTAGCTGGCCCGTTTGACAGTATTTAGTCTATAAACTGAAAAGGAAACTATGTAACAAAGTTTGAAATTAGGAGGTGGCGTTAACCCGCATCAGACGTGGAGGCCAAATAAATCTTTCAACTAATCACGGTTAAAAGTAACTTAATATAAAAAAAAGGGAATATCAACCGCTATGGCTGTTATCTATCCTGTGCTTAAAATAAATAAAATATGAATAATACAGATCTACCTTCATTTAATCATCATCATTCTGATTTTTCATAGGCAGAGCCTACAAGTCGCTTTCAAATGAAAACATTTTATGTTATTCATAAAACTAGATTCATTTGGACATCTTTTACGGGGCAAGTAATTTCCTTTAATCGTGGCCAGAATTCCTCATGACTCGGGAATGTTCTCTGTTTGTGACCGTATGTAAATGGGAACTTTTTACAGCGAGCCAAACGAATGACGCCTAGGGAAACATGAACTCTAAACAGATATCTTCAGAAGTGAGGCACTAGTTTCCATAGAAAAAATCATCAACTATATGGCCATATAATTTTGAAACCTGATCTACATATATTGTATGCATAAATAGACATTGATATTGTGCTAATGTCCAAAGGAAAATATGCTTCGTTTTATAGTTGGAACAAAAGGTTATGACTGGGCGGGAATATGTACATATATTCTGAATGACTTATCAGCGAGCAACGACTGGGTTCTGTTCTGGGTCTTCTGGGATCTATACAGCCAGTGGGGATAGTACGAACAGAGAAGCAGCAAGCACTGTGTGTGTGTGTCAATGACCAAATCACAATGATTGATAAGCCCACTCGCCGGGGCACAAAGTGAGAGCTCCAACGGCCTAAGGGACTGCCGACTGCGGCGGGGAATGTAACCGCTGGAAAGTGTGACTGTGACTCTGACGGTCTGACGGGGTCTGGGACTATTAAACGGCAGCAATCAGTCCATGAGCCGTGCAGATAAAGCCATTCGTCGGTTGATTCATATACCCATACCATCGTATATTAATCAGATTACATACATAAGAATACACATATTATTATTATTCTGTTTTGAGGTGTGTTTGTGTGCAGTCGACCTAATTGAGATGTATGTAGTGTATTGTATCTCCCTGTATATGAGAGTGACAGTGGCACCACCTTATCCTGTTCGATAGATTGCTGGACTGAAAGAGATCTTCCATGGTATGGGCGCTATCAATTCTGAATTCAGCCTAGCCAGCAATCTTTCAAATTCCGACAATCCCTTGTTCATCTACCGAGTTTAACCATCCAAGACTCGCTCATATTGTATACTCTACTATTCATAAATCTTATTTTTATACGTAATTCCATACCATTCGCGCATCCAGATTCATGTCATTGAAGGCAACATTGTGGGTGTTGTTCCAGGTGCCGACTTCCAGAAATCCCAGCGGGAAGACATCGTCGCTTGTTTCCTCCACTTCCATGTTGTGTGTGTGTGTGTTCTGTGTGTGGATGGATCGAATTACGACCTCTCTCGTTGTTGTTTTTGTTGCTGTTGTTGTTGTTTGTTAATGGAATTTTGCACTTATCGCTGTTGATTGCTCATCATCATTGTTGCACATTATCGATTCACACTATATGTACATATAAACACATATGTATAAGCAACATCATATCATATTTAGTGGCTAGTATAGCATTAATGGTGTACTGCAGTGCCATGCATTTGATTTTAAATTAAATTTATTATTTCTATGGGGGCACGCATATACAAAAACACACACACACACGCACGAACATATACTGTTCGATTTTTCCCACTTTGTATTTGTATTGGAGGTCGTTGTCGCAAGTGTCTTAAATTTTCCTTCGACTTTTTCGTGCACTTTCATTGAATCAGCGGTGCTGACGTTTTGTTTGGGATGTGTTTTAACTACTCAGATCACGTTATAAACTAGATTTAGTAATAAATGGCTAGCTATTTAGCGCGAAAGTAATACAAATTATTTCGCCTCAAACGAAAACACTCCCATCTTGTCGCGCTTCTTCTTCTTTTTTGGAACAGCTGTTCGTTAGCAGTGTGACCGCGGACTTATCAATAAAATATACCGTTTGACGCCCAGAAATACCGAAATGAAATATACTTTGTCGAAAGATACTAGAAAAGTAACCGTTGGTATGTTGCTTGTCTTGTCTGATGGTGCTAACATTTGTGTCCTGACTATAGATCCCAGATCACATTGCAAGCTAAACACTTTTCATTTCAAGGCGCTCTGGAATCCACATTTCTGAATTTGTTTACTCTTTGTACTGTTAAGCGCCAAATTTACTGCTGTTATACCCAGCTCATACAAAAATGCCTCTGTTATGTTTAACAGAGATTTATCGATAGCCAAATCGGGCTGCCAAAGCTGTTAAGATGAATTCACTTTTTGTTCTTGCCCTGACCAATTTGTTCAGATGCAGGTTGGTTTAAATAAAAATTATTTATAATAAGGGCACAAGCTCAATTGCCCAGGGAATGGTTTCAAATTCATGTCAATGCATCATTAGTCATAATTTTTTTCCTTTTACAATCAAGAATTACTTTTCAATTCGGCGAAGAATTTTTTGCCGTTTTAAAAACGGAAAAGTCTTGCGTTTTACGAGTGCGGGAGCGACTGACTTTTCGTTTTGAAAAGTAAATCACTTTTTTTTGTGAAAGTGAAAACCGGAGCCTGCCTGATACAGGCGGTTAAAATCAGAGTCTGAAAAACATTGCACAAACAATTTATTATCAAAAATATTATTGTAAAATAAAGAATGTACATTAACTTACTGGTTAGGCAAGCCAGAATCGGTATCAGGTATCGTTTAAAAGGATTCCTCGACTTTCGCCTGGATATCCCTTCCGCGGAATTCAAATAGACCTAAATTAAAAGAGTTTTTGCACTGATGTTGATGAAAGCCCAAGACGACGTAAGTTTTATTATAGTAGTAGTTATTGTAACTTTTATTTAATGTTATTGGAATTGGCTTATGATTATGTGTATTTGTATGCGTGTAGTTTGTGATTTGTGTGGATTGATGGTAGTGTTTGTGAAGCTCGCGAAACTCTGGCACCGACTGACGCTGACCACTAACCATACAGTATATACTGTATACTGTATGGTTAGTGCCCTAGCGGAGGAGATGTAGAATCTAAATGGTACATGTACAATCTACATGTTAGATGTAGAATAGACATTGTAGATGAGATGTAGATAACAAATGTAGCAAAAAAATGTAAAATGTCAAATGTTTTTTTTTTTTTTTAATTCTAAATAATTATATGCTCAAAAATGTAAATGCTGACTGAGTACGGGTATAAGTAGAGTCGCGTCCCCAGAAGCGACTCACACGTTCCTTCTCGTTCCAACTAAAATTACTCTTAAACTCTTCCAATTACAGTTTATTATTTTGCCAACTACAATTGCTCCAAAACTCTGCTGCGCGTCGCTTCTGAATTTCACAATTCCACGAAATTGTCGAAAATTCTTTTGACGCTCCTTCTCTGTCGCTGTCCAACAATTGTCCATTAACACTCTTGACTTGGTTAATGCAATTTTGAGATTTATGACCCGAACTCCACTACAACACAACACAATTGACCACAATGACGACACTTTTTTTGGTGTTTTTATACACGTTTAATCAAAATTCAAATCCCGGTTGAGCCCCCAAATATGTGGCCCAGGGTTTTTGCACTGATGTGGATGAAAGCCCAAGACGACGTTAGTTTCTACTGTTGATGGTCTTGGGGCTGTGCCTTGTCGAAAATGCAAAAATATTTTTATGCAACCCACCCACCCTGGCCATTCTTCATTTATGTTACGGCAGGTCAGGTCCATAAGCTGAAACATAAAAACAAAAGCGAAACGAGTGTGAACGTTGCCCTACGTGAATGAAATTCAATAGCTTCCACCGATTGAGTAATATAGATTTTTATATTTGCTTGTTTATAATTGGGCTTGATTATGTATATATGTATGTATGTATGTATTTATGTATATATATTGTATATGTATATAGTGTTAAAGTGCATTCCCGAATAGGGGGAAGTCCCTGGATTCCAAAAATCACTATAGAACGTTTACATTCATATCTGCCATTGTTATTTCGCCGCGTAAATTGTACTTCATGAGCTAAAATCCATATGGTTAAACGAGTATTCTATGAGTCGCTATCAATTGTAGCTTACCTCCTTTTTATGATGGTTCGACACATCAAATGCCAGGACATAGGCCAGCTTGGTATATGCTGCCACAGAAGTCATATCCGAACCGGATAAAACGCCCACATCGTCAAGCACTGCTCCAGCATCGTAGATTGAGGCTACGGAGCCGGACAGGCACTGTGTGCAGTTGACGATGATAACTCCGCGATCAACAGCATTCCGTAGAAGATCAATTATTTCTTTCCTGTTTGAGGGTATATTACCACTACCATAGGACTCCAGGACAACGCCCTTAATAGGCTCCGCCAGAGCCGATTCAATCAAATCCAGTGACATATCCGGAGTTATTTTCAAGGTGGCCACATTCATCTCCAATACGCCTCCCACAGTGAGTAGCTTACCACTGGGTCTTGGGCGTATCAGGGAACTATTTATATTTATGACATTATTAAACGTGCCCAGCAGGGGAGCGTTGGGCGAGTCGAAAGCTTCCAAAGTGTTGCAATTGACCTTGACCGTTCGATTGCCACGAAGCAGCTTGTTGGCAAAGACGACGCACACTTCCGGTATATTATAGCAGCCAGCAATGATCAGTGACGAGACTAAGTTGATCCTGCCGTCGGTGCGTGTCTCGTAGATGGGTATCTGCGACCCAGTAACGACCACCGGTTTAGCCAAATTATCCAGCATAAATGACAGGGCAGAGGCAGTGTATGCCAGCGTATCGGTGCCGTGGAGTACAACAAACCCATCGAACAAATCGTACATCCTCTGTGCGTTAACAATTTCTGTGAGTTAAGGTTATTTCCTAATTATTTTTAATACTTACTTCAATGTCTTCGGCTATGCGCTTCCAATCGCTCCCAGCCATATTACTGGAGTCCAGCAATGGATCGTACTCCATGAGTTTGTAAAGAACCCGGCCTGACTCACCCTTTACTGGGGGCAGCGCAAAGAGATTCTCTTCCGCCGGGACCTGTAGACTGGCGACATGCAGGCTGGGTTCAGTCCGGAGAAACACTCCTAAAGCATTTTCCACTGTGTCCAATGCTAAAATATTTCCAATGATATCACTGAACTGGGGCTATTTGGATGTACTTACCACCTTGGTCGTTGGGCTTCATGCCAATGGTGCCACCAGTGTAGATGACAAGAACTTTTTTAAAAACTTTATAATCAGACATTTTTTCCCTTTTCTGAATTTACTCGACCGATGTCAACTAGGTGCAGTTCACAACTAAATGTGGTATGGATTTTGCATTTCTTTTAAACACTAATGCTATGAAAATATGTATGTATATTTTCAATAATTTTGTGCTTTCCCTTGAATTCGCTATCATTTTTGTTGTGTGCGCTTTCTTTGGACTCCGATAAGACCGTGTTATAGTCGTTGTTGTTATATTATCTCACTCCACAAAGAGTTTTTTTTTTTTGAGAATGAAAACCTATAGATCAGACTTTTTGGTCAAAACGAACGATTTATTCGGACCCCAAGCTTGCTTGCATTCAGTAGTTGTTCTATTTCATATTTTTCCTTTTACACTTGGAAACTTCTCTTACTTTGGGCGCCTTTTGGCCAGAACATTTGGATTTCTAATTTTGGCATCGTCGAGCAAGAAGCGTGCGATAGTATCTTGAACCCAAAACAAAAAACGGGGAAACTTAATTAACTTTCAATCGCTGTTGTTCTGGCTTACTTCATTATTTCCCACTTTAAAAGTCATTGCATAATGTGACTGGCTGAAAAAATATTTTTATTCGACAATTTTTTTTTTTTTTTTTTTTTTTCCGGCAATTAAAATATACTCGTATGTACATACATATTTACGTAGACATATATTTTATATATGTATGTATGACGTCTTCTTTTTTTAGGCTTTTTTGACCTTGCAATGCAGTGGAAGTTCGGAAATTAGAACCACATTGTTCTTGGGGAAATCTAATTTCTGAAAAGTTATAATTGCTGGACATTTTTTTTTTTGCGCAGGAAATGATAAAATGAAAAGAAAAAGTAGTAGTAATAACAAGCATCATTTCAACACAAAAAAGTTTTTCTTTATTTATATATAAATACATTGTATATATAATATATAACATTAAAATTCACGAAAAAACATTTTAGTTATTTTTAAATTTTTAATATTAGTTTTTTAATTTTCACTTTGACCTTCAGTCATCAACTAACAAAAATTTCTACAAGCGAATCAAATGACACATGCACCAAACCACTAAATTAGATTCGCTAAAGCTCTGGAAAATGTTCTACTAGATGAGTACATTTATTTTATTCACAGCGTTCATAAAATATTTTTTAATTTTGCCACCTCCTTCCGCCCTGAGGCCCAATGTAAATACACACAGAACAAACAAATAACAACTTTAAATTTTAAAGTTTAAAACAAAAATCGACCTAGAATAAAATAAATGTACACATCTAGTACAACATTTTCCAGAGCTTTAGCGAATCTAATTTTCAAGATAATATTAGTTTAGGAGATATGAGCAGAGATAACATCCTTTATTTTTATATATTGTATTTATTTCCCACACCCACCCACTCTGCCCATTCCTCATTTATGTTGCGGCAGGTCAGCTCAGGTCGCTACATCAGCCCTCAAAACAAAACGAAAAACCAATTCAAGCAGCCAAAAATTGTAGAGCCCACACACAAGCACAGTATGTGTGAATACATGGCACACACACATTTACGAAACTGAAATAAACTGAAATCTCAAGCAAAGTCGCTTCGGCTGCTAAAAATTATTCTATGCATACAATCATATATTTTGGAGTGTTACACGTACACATCACATGCATGCTTGCTGCCAGTCGGCTCGTGAGACGTCATGAGCCAAACGCGGCCATTCCCAGAGCCGAAGATCTGGGAACATACGCTGCAAACTCAGCTGCGCCCCTTTCGTTGTATGAACTGGCACATCTATTATACTCTATGGTTAGTGTACACACCGCGAATAACTCGGGGACTCCCATTTCAATTTTTTAGTCAACCGAAAAGGCAAAACTGCAGATAGTAAGCAAATTCTTCCAGAAAGAGAACCACAGGTTGTAATTTCAGTGTCGCCAATGCAATAAAAAGCATGATTCTAATTTCTGGATAGTTCTAATTTTTTGGGGTTATAATTTCCGAGCTTCCACTGTATTGTAAATTTAACAGAAGTTTCTAAATACATTGTACCTACTGTACTCTATATCCAAATGTATGTACATTTTATTTAACTATATAGTTACTAATAATGGGATTGTTTATGATTACTATATAATTCATTAAAATGATTATAATTTCATAATTCGAAGTGATTACTGACTGTTTCTGTAATTCCACTGTGCCCTTAGATAAAGCTGAGAACATTGATAAAGATTCACTTTTTCACTCAATGAGAAATAACATTTGTCGCGGCCTTATCTGCTAATGCAATAATCGACGTAAGCGATAGCAATACAAGAGTTGAAAAATAAGCCTATGATATGCTAATAAAAAATGTAATATTATTCAACCCCACAAAGTATATATGTAAATATTTTCTTGATCAGCATCAAAAGCCGAGTCTCTGTCTGTCTGTCTGTCCCAGAGACTACAAGAGCTAGAGCAACCAAATTATGTTTCCAGAATGTAATGTGATATCACACTGTTACACTGTTTCGCCCCGCCCCCTTCGGCGGAGAAAATGTATAATCTACATTGTAGATGACAGATGTAGCAAAAAAAATGTAAACTGATAAAATATTTATGTATGTATGTATACTGACTGAGTACGGGATTCGTACTTATAAAAAAGTATATATCTAGAGTCTGTACCAGCAGTGCTTATGATTATGCCGGTGATCTCATTGTTGGCCAAAAGAAGCAGGCGTGCAGAATTATGCAGAATTTATGCTGTATAATTTGGCTAAACCGGTGGTCGTTACTGGGTCGCAGATACCCATCAACGAGACACGCACCGACGGCAGGATCAACTTAGTCTCGTCACTGATCATTGCTGGCTGCTATAATATACCGGAAGTGTGCGTCGTCTTTGCCAACAAGCTGCTTCGTGGCAATCGAACGGTCAAGGTCAATTGCAACACTCCGGAAGCTTTCGACTCGCCCAACGCTCCCCTGCTGGGCACGTTTAATAATGTCATAAATATAAATAGTTCCCTGATACGCCCAAGACCCAGTGGTAAGCAACTCACTGTGGGAGGCGTATTGGAGATGAATGTGGCCACCTTGAAAATAACTCCGGATATGTCACTGGATTTGATTCGATCGGCTCTGGCGGAGCCAATTAAGGGCGTTGTCCTGGAGTCCTATGGTAGTGGTAATATACCATCAAACAGGATCGAAATAATTGATCTTCTACGGAAAGCTGTTGATCGCGGAGTTATTATCGTCAACTGCACACAGTGCCTGTCCGGCTCCGTAGCCTCAATCTACGATGCTGGAGCAGTGCTTGACGATGTGGGCGTTTTATCCGGTTCGGATATGACTTCTGTGGCAGCATATACCAAGCTGGCCTATGTCCTGGCATTTGATGTGTCGAACCATCATAAAAAGGAGGTAAGCTACAATTGATAGCGACTCATAGAATACTCGTTTAACCATATGGATTTTAGCTCATGAAGTACAATTTACGCGGCGAAATAACAATGGCAGATATGAATGTACACGTTCTATAGTGATTTTTGGAATCCAGGGACTTCCCCCTATTCGGGAATGCACTTAAACACTATATACATATATATGTACATAATCAAGCCCAATTATAAACAAGCAAATATAAAAATCTGTATTACTCAATCGGTGGGAGCTATTGTATTATATTTCATTCACGTAGGGCAACGTTCACACTCGTTTCGCTTTTGTTTTGTAACGAACCATGGTTCTAGCCGTCACAAACGGCGGAGTGTCAGCGCATCCACGCTAGTCGGTAACAATAATCAAACTGATATACACACAGCCAACAAAAGAGGCCAAGAACACAAGACACTGCACTAGGCAGTCACAAACGCAAAACACCACAGTACGCAGTCCACCAGCGCACCACAGTACTGAATAAACCAAGAACAACCAAAACCAAACTCTCGCGTCATCATTTCTCCGTTGCCTACTGCATTTCAAGCCAGCCCGACACCTGAAGTCACCTGCGATCTACAAATTTTCTTGTAGCGGCCCCTGGACAGACTGAAGCATACCTCAGCCTGAGAAAGGACCTCACAGTTTTTATGTTTCAACTTATGGACCTGACCTGCCGTAACATAAATGAAGAATGGCCAGGGTGGGTGGGTTGCGGTTAAATATTTTTGCATTTTCGACTAGGCACAGCCCCAAGACCATCAACAGTAGACGACGAAGGCAGCAGCTGGCAGTGGCACGGATGCGGATTCGTTTATTTGTTTTAATCTATCTATCGATGAGGTGCACTTTAGCTTACCTTGTAATTTTGCTTTAAGACGTAACGCACTCGGCTTTCAAAATCCAACTTATTTAATGAACTTCTCACTAACTTTGACGCTAAGATCCAGAAACACCTAATAAAATAAAAAGCAATAAAAGCTGTCCAGTGCCCCCTCTCTTCTATCTTTCTGTTCAATGGAATTTTCAAAATTAGATAGACTATATTCGAAATTTTGGAGTGTAGGCATGGTGTTGTCTGTATTCTGTATTTTCGACTACAGACAACCTAGGTTCTGCTGTCACCAATGCGAGACTAAAGCTTGTGCTGGAAGCGGTCCTTATTCACGGAATGTATGTCCGGATGCTGGCGGTCATGTCAGACCATTGTAGGTCGAACCATTTCGCATTGGACTTTGCGGCCGTCATCTGGGATATTAAATATTTAAGGGACCGGATGGTCCGATACAATACCTTAGACGACGCCTAATTAATGTATTAATATATGATGATTATTTTCTATCTGAATGCTACTTGTTAAAGGTGGTGCCTGTGTTTTTCACCTGTAGGTACCGTTTTGAAAAAGCATGTCCTTAGTGTGACTTTTTTTCAACATCTGACTGTTATAAAGTTGTTGCGGACTCTTTAATTTTTAAGTTAGTTAAAAGTTTTAAATTTGTATAATATTATTTTTTTTATTCTTATTTCTTGAATGAGATTGATTTGAACAATTTTGTGTTCATTTTGACGAAGGTTATGCTTTCCACGTACTAAAAATAAACATGACCATCTAGGGGTTAATATTATTAACTTAATAACACGCTCTTTTCTTATCCCTTTGCCCAGGGTGGCGGCACAAAATATGAATTTATTATTAGATTTAAAAAAATGTTGCTACTATTTTGGTTTTGTTATTAGTTTATAGAAAACAAATAAACTAATTGGAAAAAATTTAGTTTGGGTTGTAAAAAGTCGTTTTTTTATTTTTCATATTTTTCTTTTGATAATTTTCGATATATTTTTTCGATACTTTTGTGCGATAATCTCAACGAATTCGGCGGAAATTTACCTTGATTTTCTAAATTATATAAAATAATAACATAGCTTTGCAATCGAATTTCGAAATCTTTAACCCCAGATCCCAATTATACAAATTTAAAATTGTTCACCAACGTAAAAAAGAAATAAAATAAATAATTTTTTTCCTTCATGAATAAAGAATGAAATACAGTATATTCTGTAAAATTAGAACCACTTTGTATCTAGGGTGATTCTAATTTCATAAAAGTTATAGTTTCTGTCAGAAACTTTCTGAACATATTTTTTTGCACAAAAAATGATTAAACAGCCGGAGAAATAGTTACGCAAAACATAATTAATTTAACACATTAAAATTCATAGAAACATTTTAGTTCTTTTTGAATTATTTTATATTTAAGAAGCGTATCAAATGACTTATGCTTATGACCGAAATGTGGAACCCACAAATAACTCGGGCATTCCCATTTAATTTTTACTTCAACCGAAAAGGCAAAACTGCGTAGGTAATACAAAAAATCTTCCAGAAATTGGAACCAACGGATATAATTTCAGAGTCGCCAATGCATTAAATTGGAATCTTCTAATATCTGGACAGTTCTAATTTGTGAGATTTTACTGTATATATTTAAAATTTCCTGCGCAAATTCAATTTGTTTTTTTATTGAGAGTTGAACTATAAAATAAAAACCTTTAACATAAAAAAAAAACTTTTTATAAAAAAAAAAAAATTTTGTGCTCACCATAAAGATGGTTTGTATGAATGGGAAAAAAATCGCACAAAATCAAGCGTTTTACAATTTATTTTTAAAATAAGTATGTACAGTAAGTATTTAAAATATAAAGGGACTCTTGCTCATTAAATGACTTCGAGCAGTGAGAACATTTATATGGTCCATCAGCTCTGTGCGTAAGGGCGTGTGAGTGAAGATTGGAGGAAAGATGACTTAGGGCACAGCTCACACTTATACGGTCGCTCTCCAGTATGAGTATGGATATGTTCCTTGAGATAGTATTTATCTGCAAAGGATTTTTCGCAGTAAGAGCATTTGTAGGGTCGTTCAATCGTGTGCGTACGGCTGTGATTCCGTAGAGATGCTTGCAAGCTAAGTATCTTTGGGCACTCGGGTCATTTAAAGGGTCGTTTACCCGTGTGCGTACGGGCGTGAACTTTAAGACAGTATATTGTTGTGAATGACTTTGGGCAATCGCTGCATTTGTAGGGTCGCTCACCAGTGTGCGTCCGGATGTGAAGCTTTAGAGTTCCTGGCAGGCTAAATGATTTTGAGCATTGGGAGCATTGGTAGGGTCTTGCATCTTGTGGCGAATGACTTTGTGCAGTCGGTGCATTTGTATGGTCGCTCACCAGTGTGCGTGCGAATGTGAAGCTTTCGAGATCCTAGCTGGCTAAATGATTTTGAGCAGTGAGAGCATTGGTAGGGTCGTTCACCCGTGTGCGTACGGATGTGGCTTTCAAGATAGAATTTGTGTGAGAAGGTTTTAGAGCAGTAAGAGCATAGGTAAGATTTTTCTTTTTCTTTTTGAAGATGGGAGCTTTGAGGGTTGTCCGCGTGAATTCGCGTGTGATTTTTAAATGATTTTTTTTGCTTAAATTACTTCGAGCAGAGGGAACATTGGAAAGATCGCTCGGCGGTATGCTCACGGATATGATACCGAAAAGATGTGATGTCGGGAAAAGTCTTTGGACACTGAGAACACTTAAAGGTTCGTTCCCTCGTGTGAGTACGCATGTGCTTTCTGAGTTCGTTTTTCTGTTTATATGTCTTCGAGCAAGGAGTACATTTATGTGGTCGCTCCGTCGAGTGAGTCCGGATGTGTCTACTGTGTTGGTATTTAGTTTGAAACGATTTTGGACAGTCTGGGCATTTGTGGGGTCGTTCTAGATGATCCGCTTTATCGGTATCATTTTTATTTATCGTTGCATCGGATTTTAAATGGTTTGACTGCTCACTTCCACTATCCGACGGTTTCCAATCAATGTCTTCCATATTATCACAGATGTCTTCTTCTCTATCCTCCTCCATTCGTGCGAAAAAGAGTTTGTGGCTCTGCTCGCAGGATTTCTTCAGATTGAATGCACTCACTGCATCCTCCAGGCAGGGCGGACATATGTTTTCTGGTAGTGAATCCCCTCGCCTAACCACATATCCTGTGCAGTCCGATATCATGTCAGCAATGCAGGTGTCCCATTCTTGTGTCTCATCAAAAATGTTTGTGTATGCTGTGGGCGTTCCCATGCAAACCCTGCACAATTCCTCCATTGTCCTGTGATTAAATTAATCTTTATAAATATTACACATTTGAAATGAGTGGAATCAAACCCAACACCAGCAAAATTTCTTAGTTTAAAATTTTGTTTGTTTGCTTGAATATTGGGATGTGAAACAAGCGATAAAAGTGTGTGGCTTGCTTCATGCGATAGCCATCGATATTTCGATAGCGCTAAGCTAACTTAAATGAGAAAATAAAATAACAACGCCAGGAAGATAATTTTACACAAACTTTAGTAACAACAAAAAATAGCAGATACAAAAATACTATAATCCAATTCTCATTCGTCCAATTTCCAGCCGTCTTGGTTGCTTTCCTCGTCATCAAGTAAACAAATCAGCTATGTGCAGTACACAATATCTTGCGTCTGCCAGTGTAAGCGACTACATCAGTACTGCATAAAATATGAAACTATCGCTGCTATCGGTAGTCGTATTGATTGGTTCCCCATCTCTGTCTGATTCACTTGAAATATTGAAAGCAGAGCTGCACTAAAGCTGCGGAAATATTAGTTAATACTTTGCATTTAACAAACAAACAAATCTCGCCGAGCTCTGGTGATGTCACAGCTGCGCTCCAAAGTTATCAGCCTCTACAAGCACGTAAGTTCGCTGCAGCAACCGCCCATGCCGGCCACGTGCATTCCGCCGCATTCCAATGGGAAAACAGCGCAGCGCAGCACCCCCCACCCCGCCTAAAAAAACATTGCGTAAACACTATTTTTCTTCCAGTTGCAATACCTGGGACGTGAGTACCCTGGACCAAATGGGCCTCAAAAGTTCCGCAAGCAAATCCATGACGCATTCATAAATCACAAGGATGAGAGCGATCCCAAGAAGATTGTGGCTCTGTTGGCGCAAGGACGCTACCTAGCCAAAGAAGTTGAGGCACTCTATTCTTTGAAGAAGTATCGGACTTTGAAGAAGTATAGCTACAATGAATAGATATGCGAGACTACGTTGGCGGTGTTTAAGGTTATGCGGATGTTGAAATTCAAGGACTGTCGAGAAGAGAGAGAGAGGGATATGATATGCCTTTTGCTTTCAATAATATACACACACGCACACCCATAAATAATGCATATTCTTTTGCCAAAGCAAAGCGACGCAACTCCTAACACACCGCACACCCTATAAAATGTTTGCACACTCCCATATACCCTACACAAAAACTATTAATTCATAATTTCGAATGTCTTGTCAATGTCTAACTTAAAGTTTGTGATTGATGCAAAAACCCAACAAAAAACAAAAAAAGCGAAAAACGGACGTAGCGAATAAAAGAAGCAGTCATTGAATAACCAAAAACCAAAATAATTGTATTGCGACCTTGAACTGGCGGCGCTCTTTTGTAGAGGGCGGGGAAGAAGGCCGGTCGCGCATGTGATGTCGTTATTGATGTACCCTCTGCAGGGGTTAATGCGTTCTTTGCAACAATGAAGAGACTGGGCTTCATAAGATACATATATATATATATATTCTATTGTATCTAGATCCCAATAACTGTAGAAAATGGCATATTGACATGTTTCTTTATAGCTTTGCCAAACTGAATACAATTCAAATGATCATAATATATAGCCATAGCCGTAGAAGCGATCCATATGTAAAGGGTATCAAAAGCTTCGGCTTAGCTGCTACCTTTCGTGTTGATGATATGTCGCCCGGATAAAAATACACACGAAATAATAACACGAATGCGTTTGGGCGCCATCTCCGTTTCTCTTATTGACAATATTGCGTATTTAAATTCATCAGACGGTGGCTGATCATGGGGTCGCCTTCAAGGCGATAAACAACTTCCGACGCCATCGGGTTGATTGAGCTTTAATTTTACGCTGATGAAAACAAAAAAGCTTGCGCGCAATCAAGGGGCAAAAGCAATGCGATTTTCAACGATCAATGCAGTACGGGTAGAAATTTTAATGGTATTACTTTCCGAGTGTTATCAGGAAACTTACCACTGATAAGTGTACCCAGGGTTCAGGTGATGTCAATGTGAAAATCGTATAAGCTCATTCAAATGTGATCGTCATTTGCAGGCATTTCATTACATGATTCCATTAAAGGGAATTTTCAGATTGACGTACTTACTACTTAAAGGGTTCAAGCTAGATTTATATAAAACGCTTATACGATGGATTGACTCAACTATGGGACACTTTTTTATCCAATCATTCTTTCCCCTCTTACTTATTCATTCTTCCTTTCAATCGAATTCAATAAAGAATCGCTTAATACATTTATTTACGCTGTAACCCACGGAAACTACATTTAAACTCGAATCGGTAATCCATTAAGAACTTGGTAGAATCGGTACAGAAAGAAGAAGAAGAAGGATGTTGAAGGATTTTTTTCCCAAGAAAAAAAATATACAGAGTATCCTACACACCATTTAAGAACAGAACTATACCAATTATAAGACTCAGTAATTATACTATTTAAGAAACACCATATAAATAAACTAAAAAATATAATTAAAAAGTTCGTTTCCCTCGCAAATGTAATGCGAGGATTCAAATATTTACAGAATTATTCCACACACCATTTGAGGATTGAACTATCATAGAAATAAACAGGTCCATTGAGTCCCACAATGTAATTCTTATAGAATAAAATATTCACAGAGTACACAACATAAAAGTTGCGAAGTATAATAATTTAAAGGTCGTTTTTCCCCCAGAAAGTAATGCTTACAGAAGAAATTATGCAATAATTAAGCATCTAACTACAATAACTTTAAGGATTTCTGGGCTCCACAATCTAACATGTAAAAATTATAATATACACAAGGTGCCCAAAGGTAATGCTCAGTGATTACCATATTTACAGAGTATTCGAGACAGATAAGCTTCGAAAGTTTATAATATTTAGTGTGCTCGGGCCTTAAAATTTAAATTGATTACCATATTTACAGATCATTCGAAGCTCTAATCATCCAACTGAAATAATTCCAATGTAATGCTTAAGCATCAGACTATAATAATAATTCTTACAAATTAAAATATTTACAATTATCCTTCAAACCACTTAAGCATCCAACTAAGACTATAATCTAGCCCCATCAAATACTATTCTAAAAATTATCACTTATTTTAATTTAAAGTCAAATTTCAATGGATTTTTAAATATAACCGAATACATTTAATACGTTTATACTACATTTGGTGTACAATTAAAATCAAATAAAATAAAATTATATATTTTAAAATATGTAAACGTGTAATTACAATATGATTTCCGTAACAAATTAACACTTTGATTGCTTTAATAATCTCTTAAACAAAGCAAACACAATTACTACAAGTAATAATCGATGAATGTTGGGGGATATTTGTGTGTAGAGGGTGAATGTAAAATAATATTCGCATGGCGCTTCACTAAACGTTAACTAAAAAAAATATTTGCTAATACGACTCCTATGATAAAATCACAATCTTTTCCAGTGGAAAGCGTTATGGTAGTGACTCGGAAATAGCAGAGAGCATTCACATGACAAATTCATACATTCAGCCAAATTCGAAGCCCAAAACATCGTCCATGCCGTAGTCGAAGAAGCGAAAGTCCTCTTCGTAGATCTCATACAGCTTGCGTATGGCACCGATTGGAAGGGGATCAAAGTATTTCCGGAGATTGGCACGCGTGCTGGATGGCTTGTGGCCGGTGGGGAATGTAAGATTTGTGGCACCGGCCAGATACAAAGCCAATGCGGAATCATCCAGCAAGGTGTCGTATTTGCCTAAAAGAAAAAGAGAGACACGTTCAAAAATGGATTTCAAATGAAGGATGAGCTATCCTTATACGCACCCACAACATTATATTTCATCACGCAGGGATTGCACAGCTTGGCTATTACCTCCCAGTGTTCATTGTACGCCGATTGATTACTCCTGCTGAGCTCTGGAGTAAGCAGATAATCCACGAATTCACCAAACGTGACATCGTCTCCGTGCTCCAGTGACTTGTTGTTGGCTCCCGGACGCAGTTCTCGTACAATCTGCCGACCTACTCGTGACTGAAAGTACCGGGCACTTGGGGAATCACCCTCTAGTTTGTTGCGATATGCGGAAAGCAGCCGCTCGAACGGATGCCGCACCAGGATGAAACGCGTATAGTCTTCGCTGAGCACCTGCTGCTTCTCCTGATCGCTCAGGTCGTAGAACTTTGTGAACATACCCACCGAATGGGCTAGAGAGCCAGGTATCTGCAGGGGATCGGTGCCATTATGCCACTTCCCCGTAAGCAGCATCAGCACGCGCTTCCAGTTCGTGCACGCAACCTGGAAAACGGCATACAGGAAAGCGGCATTAACATTTGTTCAGTTTCAAGAGGTATTCAGCAATTTAAACCAAATAAACAAGAAATATAAAGTCGAAGTGGCCACAAGAAAAATACAATTATTCGTTTACATTTTTCTTATGAAATATTTTGCCAGAAGGTCACGGGGTATTTTTGATATTTCTGAGGAATGGTTTCTTTGGTTTTGGAATGAATCATCGAATTCTGATACATTTCACAAAATCACTAAATTCATAGGAAAACTTAGATAAGCCTATAGCATATCTTTCATTCCTTTCCGGGGAGTACAAATACCCATGAGTGATAGATAGAGGTCGAATAAATCTATTTTGTGCCATCATTTTGAACACTCATTGGGTAACTATTCGAAAAAGATGTTCAACAAAAGGGAAAACAGTATCATTGTCATTATTATCTTCGATATTTGTGTTATCGAATTAGCTTTATTAAGTAATTTGTCTAGTTTATTTACTTTTTAAAATAATATAGCTTATTTCTTTAGCATGGGATATATTTTTAATTAACTATAGTCATGGAACTTAACGCGATTTCAAATAGTTATTTTTATGGACTAAGGCTGACTATTGCTGTACAAATATCATTTATAGCTTTGATAGAATTTAAATAGAATAAGTTTATGCGACTATAAGTTGTTGTAGGAGACTAAGGGACTATTTTATTTCATAATCGATTCTGATTGTGATTTGAAGTGTTTGAAATTTCTAAATTCAAAGTTTAATAACTTTACTATATATATTTTTGTGTATCTTTTCAATTTTCAAATATTAAGAAACCATCTCCCATTGACACAATGAACTTTGAGCAGGAAATTCTATACTTTTTTATCTGTTCTCCTTAGTCATAATATCAATTTCTAAAAGTACATATAACAGTCGCAAGAAAATTTCGCTCCACGAAACTCGAACTAAATAACCCAGTCAGCGATTTTCGTAAAGGAATACTCGTGCTGTTGTTGGAACGAGTGTATGTACTCGCAAAAAAGATATCATATTCTTGGGATCGAAATTCAGAATAGTTAACCCTACAACTGTCTGTGTGTATGGCATTTTCTTGCAATTCCGCAAGTGTTAATCGTCAAATGAAATCTCTTTGGAGACCTCTGGTCAGTCAAGTACTTTAATTTTAATTGCCAACTGCAATAAATTATAATTTTCGCCAAGAGGGAAAGAGATCTGCCTGGGGGATAGCTGCCGGCCGAATGGGACACACACATTGGGCAATAGTCAAGTCGTTGAAGTCAACTAACGAAAACTATGCACAGCCCGAAAGCAGCACATAAACACACACACACACACACACAAAATACGTATAACCAGAGGTAAACGGGTACTCGCGTATAGCTCGAAAAAACAATTGTATATAAACAATTTGGTTGGTCAGACAGATAATGCCGACAGCAATTAAACACCGCAAAAACATTGCACATTACAAAAGCAAACAATTCCCGTATAGACAGTGGAACTACTATCCGAAATAAAATGCCGGATGGGGTTCAAAAAGATCAGATCGGTGGAATAACTGACGCGTACATATGCCAAGATGTCTGATGAAAGTGAATTTACTGAATGCTTCCAATAGTCAATCACTATTGCTTCAGTGTGTCTGTTTCAGTTTCATGGTCCAAGTCCAAGTTTTGGTTTGTAAGTACGGTTCAGTCCGAAGTGTCGGATGAAAGAATGTTTACTCAGTAATTGCAGGAATACGAGTACTCAGGGATATGTCTAGATGTCAGAGAAAAACGAAATGGAAACTTTGAAAAATGTTTAAGCATTTTAAACACACCACTTGATCAAGTCAAAATAAATGTTTGGAGGAACTGCCAAGTAGAAGTCTAAAAAGTGAAATGTGAATGTTTTCCATCAGCCTTATCTTTTTGGCCTTTCTACATATGTTTCACTTGAACCAGCCTGAAGGCTTATAGTGTTAGTGTTCAATCAGCACTCAAGAAGTGAAATTTCAACATTTCTTGTCATGTTTGCAAACAATCTCGTCCCACTGTCATGTTCGCTCTCAAACACTGAGGGGATTCGAGGGGCCAAAGTTCGGAGTAATGCTGAAAATACAAGCAAGTATAAGTATACTCTCAATACGTAAGCAATCATAAACACAACTATGCGAACTTAACGCAATTTCTTTATAGCCGTTCAAGTAACACGCGTTGGCCGCATACTGGTAATGAGTAGCTGCCTCTCTGGTCGAGCCTCCTCTCCAGCAGCAGCAGCAGTGCAGGTGAAGTATGGGGGGTATATGAGTATAAGTATGTGGAGAGGGTTTATTGGCCAAGGGTAAATATAAACAATTTACGACTTCATGGAAGAACGAGCTGGGAAAATGCTTGACCAGCGCACGCGTGTGGCAAATATGAGAGAGAGGAGTCGAGTAGAAATAGAAGCTTGTAATTATATGATTTAAGAGATCCCCCCTCCTATTGTACGCCCCTGACAGATGATAGACTTGGCGTGGAGGCAATACCTTGATAAGGGGAACGTGTGTCTAGGCACTCAGGTGGCATGTTCGCTGACACGACACAAACTCCCTCAATAGTCACATTATAGCCACAAAGTTATTCAATGTCTAACTAAATATCTAGATTTAACAATGATTGTTGGTCTTTCATCTCGGATAATGATCGGATAATGCGATCTGTTATACATATATACTGAGGATATCAATGAACTAAAGTTAAACTGTATTATACTCTATTTGGTACAGATACAACTTCATTTATTATATTCTTATCAAAAATAGAATTTATTTTCAATAATCCAATCTTTTCTAGCAATCATTTTTTAGAGGAATGTTTAAACTCTTATCGGGCTTGTATTATAAATAAGTTGAACCAATGAATCTATGATCTTTCCACTCTCAATCGAAGGTCTGCCATATTTTTGGAGGGTATACGGAATATCTGAATTCTTACTGGACATTCAATTATTATTATTTGTGTATGGGATATGAAATTTTGTGTCCTATAAATGTTCTAAGTCGTTGGTCTATTAGAATACAAATTATGAGCCTTTTAAGTTTTGTTTGTGATGAAAGAATAAATTAATTCACGTGAGATTCTCCCAAATGATCTGAAGAGACCATCGATAATTATCTTTAAAATACTTTGAAGTTGATTTTTTTTTTTTTTGATTTCCTAAACATCCATCAGTGAACTTCTATAAGTAGGTACTACAGCCATATCTCTCACACATTTAAAGGCTTCAATTGTATCTTGTAGAAAAAACAATATAATTCGAATTTAGACAACATTTTTAAGTGTGTGTTTGAGATGACATTTCCTCCACTACCCCAATGAGCTGATACTGGTATACCAGAGTCCACAATCAAGGTTTGTATCGCATTGATAAGTCGCATAGAATTCCCGCTCTCGTTATGCCGCATCATTCATTGGCCATTACTCAATTGTGTGTGTACTGTGGAGGAGCGGAAAGAATTTGTTTAAAGAACTAAGAAGGGGTTCAAAGGTACACCGGCAACATGAAACACAAATCTATTTTTATGTCAGGAACCTCACACCATCACACGCTTCACTGTTTCCCAAGCAACCGGCATCGAGGGGCCACCTATGACAATCTAATCTTATAGTTTTGGTTTTAATGTTTTCCAATAACTTATTGGCCTGATAAGCGGTTGGTTTTGAAAAGGCCATTTCCTTTCGTTAATTTCCACTATAGGTAATTCCCTAATCCAATTAGTTAAAGCAATCAAAGGTGCATAGAGCTTAAGTTAATTAATTATTTTTAATAAATTTATATAGATTGGATTATCTCTGAGGAAAAGACGTCACAGAATCACATTCCACAGATAATCGAAATATATTTGCAAGTATTTCTAAATTAATCTCTAAGCTTGGGTTTAGGTCTTATCAACTAGAGAATGAGGACACTGGCACTGAGCGAGACCCATTAAGACATTGACATTTGACTCCCGATCTAGGCTGATTATACCAGTATGAGTAGTTGTAAGTAGTTTTGCAAGTTAATGCCAATTAAGTTGGCAATTCAGCTGTGGCTTAGATCACAAATTACAAAAGTTTTATATTAGTGCCTATCATTACAAGCCATTTAACTGAGTTACCGAGGGTCGGATGTTGATCGAGAACACAGTCGTTTAGAGCTATAGTAATTGAGCATTTAATTCCAGTGTAACCAGCATTTTATTAAAGGAAAATACTATATACGAATATATCTTCCATATATATGTATATAAATCTCGTGATGCATTGTGATTCAAAGAAGAAACAATGGTATTGAGTTCATCGCCGACATATTATTGAAACTATTAAAATCACACATGCATAAATGGGAAAACGACAATCATCAGTCATCAATCCTGGTAAAATGCCAGATGGTGAGCACATTAGTAGATTCAAAGTTCCTTTTATTGACAACGTTGCTGGATTCATGGTTGGCGATCTTACGAGAAATTTTGATTCAAAGAATGAACAATGATATTGAGTTTATCGCTGACATACACCGTTCATACGACGCGGGGTTGGCAAACTGGCGAAGCAAATGCGCAGGAGCTTGCCCCCTAGTACATACTATTCAAAGTTATAAACATATGTTTAGTTATGTATGTATAGTTCCAGTGTAGTTATACATATATGTGGTATAATGCTGATATGAGTGCGGAAATCCCTTTGGATAAGACTTGTAAGTCTCGATAGAACGGACTGCTTCAACGTGGACCCATTTCAGATGTATTTGTATTAATATATATATATATATATATATATATATATTAAACTGCTGATATGAATGTGTTAATGGAATTTCTACAAACTCAAGAAGTACTTTTGAATACACTTGAAAATCTCTATAGAACCAAATGGAACTAAAGGCTGCTCAAAGCTACTTAAATATGGATTAACTTATATTAAAGAAATATGAAATAATCCATAATATTGCGCAAGTCTCTTTGATAAGCAAAAAGTGGCTACGAATGAACTTGTAGGTCTCTGTAGAAGAAAATCGGATGGTAAAGGGTACTCAAAGCTGCTTAAACGTGCACCTCCAATCCGTTTGGTGAAAGACATCACTCAACTATAAGTATAAATTGTGGCTAAGCAAACACACACACACACACAAACTGATTGGATGGATCTTCTTCGCTTGTCACTGCCACAAGCTGCAAGATCAACAAAACAAAAACCTCAACACATGCTCTGGAGTCTCTGATACTCAAACCAAAACGAGAACACGTGAGACAGCAGCAGCAAGACGAAACAAGTTTTTTTTTATAAACAAAGCAGGGCAGGAAAAGAGACCGTGATATATATGCCGATTTTTGACTAATGCCGACGCCTTTTTTTGGGACAGCACATGGCAACCGCAAAAGAAATACATCATTCGACTTTTAAACATTTGGCTGACCCAGCAGGAAGCCAGCGGTTGACACATACCTTCGGCACATAGCAGTAGAGCAACTTGTGCTGTTTGTCCACAATCATATGATCCATTTGCAGCTCCGTGAGATCCTCCTGGGTTTGGGTGTGCTCGCCGAGTAGCTCGCATTGTCGCTGCATGTACTCCTGCCGCTGTATATTGATGGTCTGTGTCAGCTCCAGGCTACGTCTGGTGATCTTGACATTGTTGTTGTTCCCATCCTCGAACGGCATGCAGCGGGTGAGAGTGAAGACGGTGGTGGCGGCGAGTGAAATGCAAAACCAAAGCGAAACCAGTCGATGCATAATGCAGTGCAGGTGGCCTCCTTACGACTGACTTTCCAATCAAATTGTTTATGTTACAAGAGATTACTGCTGTCATTGGCTGTCAGTGGATGCTCGCTCCGCTCTGCTGTCTATCTCTGCCTTTGGCAACCAAAGTACTTGACGCGATGGACAAACTTCAGGGTGGCAGCGTTCTCAATGCCCAGCTCTGTGAGGGTGGCACGTCCGTTGGAGCGGTCGTCGATCGGCTGATTCGTTTCCACGTTGAAGAGGCCAAAGCAGCGCCATAGAAAGCGCCAAGAAACGAACGCGCGATGATCGTGCCCGTTGCGCAAAGCGGAATGAACTAACTCGCCGGTGGAGATCGGCATGGCTCCACCAGCAACTTGTTGCTGCCTCTGCCGCTGTCGATCTTCGTGTCCGCCGTCGGCCAATCCACGACGCCTGAGACTCTCTTCGTGCCGCTCGCGCTGTCTTCGCTTGTGCTCGGCACGAGAGATCACAGCAATTGCCTTCTTGAGCTGCGCGATCGTCGGTACGGGTTGGTGGAGCTGCAGAGAGAAAACTTTAGAGAGCGAGAGAAAGAGATGGGGTGGGGGGGAGAGTTTTGTTTGGAGTGGCATCAAATTAAACATTCCTTGCCTAAGCATTCAAAATTTAATGTCGAAAATTGGTTAGCTCGAAAACTTAAATAGGATATGAGAGTCTTCTCCCTGCTGTATGGCGTCGTTGTCAGGAATTTAGACAAGCGTGTGCCGGCCCTGCTGAGACCCTTCTGGACCTCACCCACGGGTATGCTAATAGTTCGGCTTCGACTGCGGATTTTCCCCACTTAAAATTCTTCTGTTAAGGTCCGCAGACGGTCTTCTTTTGGGGTCCTGTCGTCAAGTGGGTATGTCCGGATTAGATCCATACTTTCCATGTTTTACTCTCTCTTTTTTTCTCCTACAGTGTGTAGTTTTGGCTGGGCTGGGCGATTTGCTTAATCGACAGCCGCATTTGATATCAAAAAAGCAGACTCTTGTCCTGGCTTTGAGTGGTGTCCTATGGTCACGCTGGTCTATGGTTATCAGGCCCAGGAACTATAACTATATGGCCTGCAATGCTGTGATGTCTGCTTCCCAGACCCTGCAGCTGTGGAGGAGCATTAGCAATGATCTGGGCAAGGTGTGGCAGGACTTGTCGTCGGCCCGTGGAGTGTAACGCAATGGCACTGTCCCACTTTCTAAACAAGACCATTAAAGGGCCAAAGCATGCTAACAAATAAAACCATTGAGGCTGCTCTGGTTTGTCATTGCGGCGCCAATATTTCACTCGTGAAATATTGATGGATTGGTTGATTAAATCAAGGCAATAGATAATTGAAAGGCCGCAAAAATGCGAGTGCAAACAGCTGCGTTTCCCCTTCTACTAACCACGATTGTCAGGGTGCTGAGTCCGTCCCGCTCCACGTAGATCGTTGTGGCGCTTCCCTCCGCGATGGCAATCTGAAATTATGAAACATATTCAATATGTGTGCACGCTGGCTGCGCATAACGGTAGCCGTTTCTCACAATAAAGCCATTCAATTAGCATCTCTAGAGTCTTTAGAACGCGCAGTAGGTCAGTCATTGAGAGTGACGACATCAATGATGGTAGACCCACCCAACGGTGTGCTAAGTGCTTGCCTCAACTGTGCAAAATTGGGGACACTCTTACCTCGCCCAGCAGCTCAGTGGCCGTACAGTCGTAGGGGATGTCCGACAGTTCACCAAAACTCTCCAAGATCTGACGCAGTTCTTGCTCTGTGCTGGCCACCAGGTCATTGTGCTCGGAGCGTTCGGCGGCGTTGCACTGCCGTCGAGCAGTGATCCATGCTTTGGTTTTTCTTTTCGTTCCCTTGCGATTGCTCAGTATCTCCTCGTTTCGATTGCGTGCTTCTCTGGTTGCTTTCTTGCGCAGATTTACGGGCATCTGCAGCAACTTATTGTAGGTCAGAACGCTGGTTTCCGTACGCTCCTTATGTGGGAATCGTTTTGCTCTGTGTGGAGATCGTTCCCTTCTGTCTGGAGATCGTTTCCTTACATGTTCTCTTCTGTGTGGGGAACAGCGCTCCCTTTTGTGTGGGGAATACACTTTTCCCTGTGGCGAGCGTGCCCGTCTGGATGGCGCGCATTCCTTTCGGTGTGGCGATGGTTCAGTTCTATGTGACGAGCGTTTTCTTTTATGTCTCGATCGCTTCCGAGACTCTCCCAGATTTGACGCAGTGTCAGACACTGGGGAGCGTTCTTTGTGGCGTGACGAGTGTTTCCTTTTATGTGACGAACGGTGTGAAGAGCGTTCCCTTTTCTTTGAAGAGCTTTCTCTTCTGTGTGGAGAGCGTTCTTTTCTGTATTCCTTTCTATCCATTGTTTTTACTTTGTTTCCTTAATTTGTTGAAAAATAAACAGGATCAGCTGTTTTTCGATACAACCGATAGCACTACAGCTACTATCGATGAATGGTGGGAACTTACGTAACGTAACGTGGCAACGAACGTATCGATGTATTTTTCGACGTTTTGGATATGGAATCAATATGCATTGATTTTTCCACTAATTTGGCGGTTTGCAAAAATTAAAATGAACAGAATTCAATGCTGCAATAAACTGAAAAATTATTTGTTAGTGTGTCTTTTACATAGGAAAGTAAAATATTGGCTGTAACACCCGTAATATTTTGAAGACCTTTACGCTATGATAGACTGCATGAACGTTACGTTGTTTGCTATCGACAGCACTGTCGATTACCATCAGCTGATAAGAAAAGAAAATAACTCTTGTGAAATTATTTAATTATTACGAAAACTAACGAATTTTAGAGAACAAATTGAATCATGCAGAAAGTGCTGGGACACGTGCAAGCGCACGTTCTGCGCACCAGAGCCACAAATGTAGCCGTGTGTGTTGTGCGTCACGAAGCCACAACGGCAGCGGCCGCACAACCAGCAGTCAAATTCGCTGCAACATCTAAAGGTAAGTGCTGTGGGAAAATCATTAGTAGTTATGCATGCTGTAAGATGGTAAAATATTTGCAGAGTTCCGGGACCGTCAAGTACGTTTCAACATAAAAAACGAGCAGACAACTGGTCGGCCCCTGTATCTGGATGCCCAGGCCACAACACCGATGGATCCACGTGTGCTGGATGCCATGTTGCCCTATCTGACCAACTACTATGGCAATCCCCACTCTCGCACGCACGCCTATGGCTGGGAATCGGAGACGGCTGTGGAGAAGGCACGCGAGCAAATTGCCAGTCTGATTGGCGCCGAGGCAAAGGAGATTATATTCACATCAGGGGCAACAGAGTCCAATAACATTGCCGTCAAGGGTGTGGCAAGGTTCTATGGCACCAAGAAGAAGCATGTCATCACCACACAGACGGAGCACAAGTGCGTCCTGGACTCTTGCCGCGCACTCGAAAATGAGGGTTTCACTGTCACTTACCTGCCGGTGCAGACCAACGGCATCATCGATCTGAAGCAGTTGGAGGCGGCCCTCACGCCAGAGACATCCCTGGTGTCGATTATGACTGTGAACAATGAGATTGGCGTAAAGCAGCCCGTCGAGGAAATTGGCAGGCTCTGCAAATCGCGCAAAGTATTTTTCCACACTGATGCGGCCCAGGCCGTGGGCAAGATCCCCCTGGACGTGAATGCCATGAACATTGACCTGATGTCCATATCGGGCCATAAGATATACGGACCCAAGGGTGTGGGTGCCCTGTATGTGCGTCGCAGGCCGCGAGTTCGTTTGGAGCCCATTCAGAGTGGCGGCGGGCAGGAGCGCGGCCTGAGAAGCGGCACTGTGCCAGCGCCCTTGGCCGTGGGCCTGGGAGCAGCTGCCGAGCTGTCCCAGCAGGAGATGGACTACGACAAGAAATGGGTAGACTTTCTGTCCAACCGGCTAGTGGAACGAATTTCGAGTGCCCTGACCCATGTCATCCGCAACGGGGATCCAGTGGCCACCTACAATGGCTGTTTGAATTTGTCGTTTGCCTACGTTGAGGGAGAGTCTCTGCTGATGGCCCTGAAGGATGTGGCTCTGAGCAGTGGCTCTGCTTGCACATCGGCCTCCCTAGAGCCATCCTATGTACTGCGAGCCATTGGCACAGATGAGGATTTGGCTCATAGCTCCATTCGGTTTGGCATTGGCCGCTTCACGACCCTCGAAGAGGTGGACTACACAGCGGACAAGTGCATCAAGCATGTGGAGAGGCTGCGCGAGATGTCGCCGCTCTGGGAAATGGTCCAAGAGGGCATAGATCTGAAGAGCATACAATGGTCCCAGCACTAAGCGAGATCCAATATTTTAGCCGTTACTGTTACCCGTTACCCGATACAATAATTACAAAAACCCGAAAATAAATTAGTTGCAGCGCCTTTGGGAAAAAAGTATCTACATAGTTTATTTGTACACAAAAACCACTTAATAGCTAAAGCTTATGCGTCAAAATCGAATGTGTTTGTGCAAGAGGTGAGGTAAGAGAGCGACCCCAAAAGCGTGCGACGACCGACTCCAAAGTGCGACGGCGAGCGTTATGCAAATTGAAGCCGGAATTCGTGTCGTGTTGCTTGTGGGCAAGGTTCAATGCGCTTTCTTCTTGTTGTCAGAGGCAGCGCTGCTGCCACCTCCGAGGATCTTGCGGCGCTGCGCAAACATATGCAGATACAGCTGGGGGAAAATGGGAATGTAGGCGAGCATCACAATCCACAGGAAGGCAAAATAGGAGAAGGTGGCATTCCATCTATTCGGCATCACAGTGCTCCACACACTGTTCTGACGGGCATAGCTCTGAGCCCACCAGAAGCACAGGAGCTCGCCGGTGACGCCAATCGGGTACAGGGCAATGAAGGTGGTGTAGCGCAGGAAGACCACAAAGTGTGGCACCACTTTGACAATGTTCAGCGCATAGTACCCATAGCGGATGATCTCCGTGATGGCCCAGGCAAAGAGGGCGATAGGCAGACCTGGCGATACCTTGCCCGTGGGCGTGGCCATGACCACTCCAACGACAACCATCATGCGGCTGAATACTTGGAATCCGGTGACCACCGGATTAGATTTCACCAGGCCAAAGGCTGCGTTGAGGATTTCCACAAAGGCTGCATTCTGGAAGATGATGACAGCCACTCGTGTGTAGTCCCAGAGCGTTGTCTGTGCGCGGAATTCGGGGCCCTGCAGCAGATAGTAGTTGACCAACTGGTACAGGATGTAGCTCCAGCCGCCCACCTGCACGGTATTGTAAGCGATCAGGTAGAGTTTGGCCAACGCCGACGGCTCTTTGGAGGCGGGCTTGCTTGACTTGGCTACTTTTGCGGACATTTTCAACGTGAACTTTCACCTCACCCTTCCACTAAGTTAATGATTAGTTAATCAAAGTCGTCAAAACTTATCGCCCGATGAGTCGCTTTCACCTGTTGACCGCAAAATCAACCATCGATAGGTACGTGTTTTCCCCCATCGATATATCGTTGGGTAAAGTAAGCGCGCCTAAATAGATTGTGCACTATCGCAAACATCGATGGCTATCGCAAACCACAACCAAGCCAAGCCACACACTGTTATCGCTTGTTTCACATCCCTATATTCAAGCAAACAAACAAAATTTAAACTGAGAAATTTGGCTGATTTTGGGTTTGATTCCACTCATTTAAGATGTGTAACATTTATAAAGATTAATTTAATCACAGGACAATGGAGGAATTGTGCAGGGTTTGCATGGGAACGCCCACAGCATACACAAACATTTTTGATGAGACACAAGAATGGGACACCAGCATTGCTGACATGATATCGGAGTGCACAGGATACGTGGTTAGGCGAGGGGATTCACTACCAGAAAACATATGTCCGCCCTGCCTGGAGGATGCAGTGAGTGCATTCAATCTCAAGAAAATCTGCGAACAGAGCCATCAATTCCATTTCAAATTCATGGTGGAGGATAGAGAAGAAGACATCTTTGATAATGTGGAAGACGATGAATGGGAACCGACGGATAGTGGAAATGAGCAGTCAAACCATTTTAAAACCGATGTAAAGATACATCAAAATGGTACCGACAAAGCGGATCATCTAGAACGACCCTACAAATGTCCCGACTGTCAAAAATGCTTTAAAAAAAATTTCCAACTCAACAGACACATTCGGACACACTCGAAGGAGCGACTGCATAAGTGTACTCAATGCTCGAAGTCATATACACGAAAAGACAAACTCAATATACACCTCCGTTCTCACACTGGGGAAAGACCGTACAAGTGTACTCAGTGCTCGATGTCATATAATCGAAAAGACAAACTCAAGTTACACATCAGTTCTCACACTGGGGAAAGACGGTACAAGTGTACTCAGTGCTCGAAGTCATATGAACAAAAATGCAAACTTATTATACATCTCCGTACTCACACTGGGGAAAGGCCGTACAAGTGTACTGACTGCTCGAATTCATATAACCAAAAATACAAACTCAATATACATCTCCGTTCTCACACTGGGGAAAGGCCGTACAAGTGTACTGACTGCTCCGAGGCCTTTGCTAGAATTTTCCATCTTAGAGTCCACCAAACGGAATTCCACACAAAGGAATTTAAACAAGAGGAAACTCTAAACTCTGAAATCTTCACATGCCCTTACTGCTCTAAAGCCTTCCCATACGAATGCAATCTTCAAAGCCACATCCGTACGCACACGGGTGAACGACCCTACCAATGCTCTCACTGCTCAAAATCATTTAACCAGCCAGGAACTCTAAAGATTCACATCCGCACGCACACTGGTGAGCGACCCTACAAATGCACCGATTGCCCAAAGTCATTTACAACAATATACTGTTTTAAAGTTCACGCCCGTACGCACACGGGTGAACGACCCTACCAATGCTCTCACTGCTCAAAATCATTTAGCCTGCCAGGAACTCTAAAGCTTCACATCCGCACGCACACTGGTGAGAGACCCTACAAATGCAACGATTGCCCAAAGTCATTCGCCAAAATAGCCAGTCTTAAATATCACGCCCGTACGCACACTGGTGAGCGACCCTATAAATGCAGCGATTGCCTAAAGTCATTCATGGCAATAGGCAGTCTTAAAATTCACGCCCGTACGCACACGGGTGAACGACCCTACCAATGCTCTCACTGCTCAAAGTCATTTAACCAGCCAGGAAGTCTAAAGATTCACATCCGCACGCACACTGGTGAGCGACCCTACAAATGCACCGATTGCCCAAAGTCATTCACAACAAAATCCTGTCTTAATATGCACACCCGTACGCACACCGACCCTACCACTGCTCTCAATGCAATACGACATACCAACGATTAGTTAATCTCAAAACCCACATATTACGTGCTCACACTGGCAATAATCAATTGGAATGATGTTAACGGGATATAAAAAACAAAATTATTTGTAACTGATACGTTATAGAAACAAATTTCGATTAAATGTAATGTTTTTAATGAATTAAGACGTGATGGCATAGAATCACCTAGCGATTCTGGGGCGGATGGATTGATATTCGTCCTACCCCCATTTTCAGCTACATTAACATTGCTTATATTAAAATACGCAAAACGCACATATAAATATTTTTAATTTAATTTTAATGAACAATTTTTAGGTATAAATAAATTCACAATAAAACAATATTTATTGATCTAGAAATACACAAATTTGGCATACAAATTTAGCAATAGACTAAAAATTTATAGATTCTTCCTTCAACTACAATTTATTTCATTTAAATAAATGTATGCAAGGGACGAAGCATGGCTAATACTGGGACTTTTAAATGTTTTATCTACTTTTGTGTAGTCTAGCCTTCTTTTCTAGCCTTTTGGACAAAATAATTTAAAAAATTATGCCCAATGTCCAACATTCTGTATTTAAAGTTAAAAACGGCCCTTTTTAAATATTTTCATATGTTAGTTCCAATAAAATATAACAGATAGGAAAATAAACAAAAATTGTGTGAAGCTGCACTCTAATATGAGCTTTTACAAAGCATTTATTTAATTGGTTTAAAAAATGTACATTACCAACTGCAGTTTGAAAAAATATCTTCACTGCGTTAATTAATAAAAATGAAAATCAAGAAAAAATATTTAAAATACATACATATTTTAAAAGCTTTTGTCAAACACACGATTAGGTGAAAAATTTTTTTTTCAAAAAGAAGTTGAAGTTTTTTATTTCTTAGTTTAACTTAAATAATCCAATTCATTCTTCATTCATGAAGAAAAAAAGTATTTACAAACAATTTAATTTTTAAAGTTGGTGAACAAATTTAAAATTGTTTATTTTTATATTCAGGTGATGAAATAAAATGATTTCATTATATTTACTATTTTATTCATATTTAAAGACTTCGAAAGTAAAATTTAATAACACAATTAAATTGTTCAAAGCTAACTACAGAAACACCCATATTGTTACATCCGATAACACAATGTTTTCATTTGATTGGAAGTGTTTCGCGCTTAACATCACATTGCGTGCATTTATTATGTCAAACAATAACAATTCACTTCAAGGAATAATTTATAATTTTCAACTCAGCAACTTAAATATTTAGCTGATTTATGGTTTGATTTGATTCCGCTCACTTCAAAGTGTAAGATTCATTGATATTCATTTTCTTGCAGGACAATGGAAGGAATATGCAGAGTTTGCATGGACACTGGAGCATTCACAAACATTTTTGATGAGACACAAGAATGGCACACCTGCATTGCTGACATGATATCGGAGTGCACAGGATACGTGGTTCGGCGAGGGGATTCACTACCACAAAACATATGTCCGCCCTGTCTTGAGGACGCAGTGAGTGCATCAAGTCTCAAGAAAACCTGCGAGCAGAGCCATAAACTCTATTTCGGACGAATGGAGGAGGATAGAGATGAAGACATCTGTGATAATCATTGGGAACCGTCGGATAGGGAAAGTGAGCAGTCAAGCAATTTTGAATCCGATGTAACGATACATCAAAATGATGCCGACAAAGCGGACCATCTAGAAAGACGCTACAAATGCCCCGACTGTCCAAAATCCTTTAAACAAAAATACCAACACACCAGACACATCCGGACTCATACGGAGGAGCGACCATACAAGTGTACGCACTGCTCGAAGTCTTTTAAAGAAAATGATGAACTCATAAAGCACATCCGCACTCACCCATGGGAGCGACCGTTTAAGTGTTCTCAGTGCCCAAAGACTTTTCCGCACGCCACATCTCTTCGGTATCATATCCGTGATCATACCGGCGAGCGACCCTTTCAATGTGCCCAATGCTCGAAGTCATTTAAACTAAAATCCCAACTTAAAATACACAACCGTACGCACACAGGTGATCGCCCCTACCAATGTTCAGTCTGCTCGAAGTCGTTCAAGTATAAATGGTACATCAACGACCACCTCCGTACTCACACTGAGGAGCGCCCATACAAATGTACTGAGTGCTCGAAGTCATTTAAATTTAAGATATCAATTAGAAATCACACCTGCAAACACTCGTAAAACGATCGTTGGAGCCAAGCCCAAAAATCTCCCTTCCCATAGTCACGTGAGTACGGGAATCTGCAGAACAAGTCTTCATCTTCAATCAAAAAATTTAAAAATCTAAAGACGTTATCTGTAAGATAAAAATAAAAAAGCAAAGCTTTTGAAATGAATAGTGATTCTAGACGTGTAAGACCTTTACGTAGCATTAAAGTTAAACACTATAGCCTGGTTTCTGTAGAAATGATCACCATATATGTATGTACCTGCCATCCTGGACGGGGATCTAATTTATTATAAGCATTGCACCTCAATAATTGAATTCGATAACTTGTTCCTACAATTGCCTTTCGCGCCTAACAGCACTTTATGTTTGTTATTGCAAGTATTTGTCGTGCTACATTTCGCGTCTAACAGCTCAATTTAAATTGTTTTGTTGTCAAAACAAAAACAATTCGTGCCAAGCAATTGCATATTTTGCAATTCCGGAAAGGAGCACAGGTTGGCTTATTAAAAACATAAAACAAGTTTGTTTAATATTGTTACTTGTAGAACAATGGAAGGAATATGCAGAGTTTGCATGGGAACGACTGGAGCATTCACAAACATTTTTGATGAGACACAAGAATGGGACACCAGCATTGCTGACATGATATCGGACTGCACAGGATATGTGGTTAGGCGAGGGGATTCACTACCAGAAAACATATGTCCGCCCTGCCTGGAGGATGCAGTGAGTGCATTCAATCTGAAGGAAACTTGCGAGCAGAGCCATAAACTCTATTTCGCACGAATGGAGGACGATAGAGAAGAGGACATCTGTGATAATGTGGAAGACGATGATTGGGATCCGTCAGATGAAAGTGAAAGTGAGCGGTCAAACCAATTTAAAACCGATGCAAAGGGTCCAAGTGATAAGGATGTCGATCGTCTGTTCAAATGTAGTCTTTGTCCAAAGAGCTATACGCTTAAAACGAATCTAAATAGACACAAGCAGTTACACACAGTAGAACGACCGTTCAAATGCTCGGACTGCTCAAAGTCATTTAAGCTAAAATGCTATCTTCGAACACACACGAACGCACACTGCTTGAAGTCACTGGAACTAAAATCCCATCTTCAAGATCACTCCCGTACGCACACAGCTGATCGTCCCTACCACTGTTCCCACTGCTCGATGTCTTTTACACAAAAATGCAATCTTCAAGCGCACATCCGTACGCACACAGGTGATCGCCCCTTCCAATGCTCCCACTGTTCGAAGTCATTTAAACAAAAAAGCCATCTTCAAGAACACACCCGTACGCACACGACTGTTCGACGCTTCAAATGTTCTCACTGCTCGATGTCATATAAATACCAATACGAACTTAAACAACACATCCAATGTCACACGGAGGAGCGACCATATAAATGTACTTACTGCTCCCAGTCATATCAAGAAAAAGCCCATCTCCAGGAACACATCTGTACTCCCACCGAGGAACGACCGCATAAGTGTTCATACTGCATACAATCTTTCAGTGATAAATCTAAATATGACATACATACCCGTACTCACACCGGTGAGCGACCCTATCCATGCGCTCACTGTTCAAAGTCATTCAAAGGAAAATCTAGTCTCCGGGTACACATGCGTTCCCACACAGGGGAGCGACCGTACAAGTGTACCCACTGCTCAAAGACTTTTAGATACAGGAACAATAGCTACCACGCCCATATACTAACTCACACAAGCAATGACAAGTGTGCAATTCCGGCACCATTCGAGATCACATCCGTAAAAACGTTGAGAAAGGAAGACACGATTGCTCCTACTGCAGAGCAAGATATTTAAGCTTTTTATACATAGATGGACGAATCGCTTAAATATATGTATGTACAATGTAACAATAAACCCAACCAACTAATTCACATTTTTTTGTCGATTGCTTGAAGTATTTCAGCCCATATCAGCAGAAGTCTCCAAGTTCTGCTACTCCATCGGGTCCTTAATACTCTTCTGCATGTGCTTGCAGTATTTGGCCGATGCGTCGCTCATGCACAGTGAGTATGCAGAGTCACTCTACAGTGATTATTCGCCAAGACATACATGCTATTCATAATCCTATGGAATAACCAGTTTTCTATTCAGCAGTAGTGGCGATCCCAAAGATAACAGTTCGGCTCACAGGATTGACGAGGCCAATGTCATTTAAGTAGTCCGCCACTGACATATTGCATTAATACATATTTAACTTAAACTTTGCTGACGCTGAGATAATGTCGAGATTTCTTCGCACTTTGCTTTGTTTCCATAAATTTGTTGGACTATGATTAACGTATATTTTGAAAAAATAATGTGGGCCGGTGGAACAATATGCTAGTAAAATATCATGGCCAATAAAACGAACGGCAAGTGTTTGATCTTTTAATGGGAACTACATATATAAACCTTTGCGATTTGACAAAAAGAAATATGGTTTAATAAACATAATGATAGAATATGTGAAATATGTGTGCGAAGAAATCTCGACATTATCTCAGCGTCAGCAAAGTTTAAGTTAAATATGTATTAATGCAATATGTCAGTGGCGGACTACTTAAATGACATTGGCCTCGTCAATCCTGTGAGCCGAACTGTTATCTTTGGGATCGCCACTACTGCTGAATAGAAAACTGGTTATTCCATAGGATTATGAATAGCATGTATGTCTTGGCGAATAATCACTGTAGAGTGACTCTGCATACTCACTGTGCATGAGCGACGCATCGGCCAAATACTGCAAGCACATGCAGAAGAGTATTAAGGACCCGATGGAGTAGCAGAACTTGGAGACTTCTGCTGATATGGGCTGATAGGCGCGTGGATGTCGCTGGTCATGTAGGATAGTGTGGGCAGCGTTACTAGCGATACGAGGGTTCCGTTCAAGACTGGGCGGTATACCTTTAGAGAAGTATACGGCATTAAGAACTTTTATGCACTGCTGGGACTGCACCTTAATACAAAATATGTATACATACCTCAAGTTCTGGCAACGTTCTTCAAACGCTTATCCAATGTCTGATACAATACAACCTTAAGATTGAGGGGATATAGTTGTGGTTCATATGGAACCATGTGCCTTGCCCTACCTGGTTAATGATAGACAGTAGAGGACGATTGGTGAGCTCAGTCCAGTTGAAAAAAAAACTAATATATCTGTTCTAAACATAATTTACTGTGTTGAGTGTCCAAATGTATAGACAATAATAGGTTCTTCTCCCACAACTATTTTTAGGAAATGGTCTCGAAATCAAAGAGCAACTTTGTTGTGACAGTTTACTATTCTATCATTATGCTTATTAAACTATATTCCTTTTTGTCAAACCGCAAAGGTTTATATATGTAGTTCCCATTGAAAGATCAAACACTTACCGTTCGTTTTATTGACCATGATATTTTACTAGCATATTGTTCCGCCTGGCCCCATAGTACTCGTTCCGACTGATGTTTTCGCCAATGCCAGCCGGTTTGCATGGCCAGGTGGAAGAGCTGCCGTTGTTTCTGTTCGCCTGGTGGAAACCGAACCGAAAACCGAACGTGTCTGAAAAAGTCCGCCACCACCACGGGGACGCGGCCACGTCCGCACATGTCAGCGCGCGTGTGGTGGGGTAATTTCTTTCCCCAGCTTTGGAGCGATTCGTTTCGTTTTTGTGGCGCTTTGTCGCCGTTGTCGAATTTCATGCCCATCGGATCGGTTTGAAAAGTCGGTGGGAACTGGAGAACTTTTGTTCCGATTCGGTATCGACGGCACGTGTCCGTGTCAGCCTTTGGCTATGTACGGGTATGTGGGCGGAGGCCTACAACCACGCCTACCGTGCAAATTAATTTGCTGGGCTGCACATTTAACGCAAATTACTAACTACTCCCCTAAAAATGGAAAAGAGACAGCAGCAGCAGCACCAGCACCAGCAGAAGCAGGCAGTCACATAGAACGGTATACTTTCAAGAGAGAGAATCCAGCCAGTCAGACGGACACGACCAGGGGAGGCAAACCGTCGCCCGTCGACGCCTTGTTATCAGCTTATCAAGAATATGCCATCATTGCTCGGACTGGGCCTGGCGGAGGGCGAGGGTGCGACAACGTGTGTGTGTTTTGTTGGACGGGCGGAGCGGCAGTTTCAGACAGCAGCGCCCACAAAAGGCCGATTGGTTTGGACCAGGAAAAACAAGACCCCGCCAAAAGTGAATTCCCTCTTTTTCACCAGGCGGCCAGAGAGTATAGCGGGTGGCAATCGAAGCACATTCAAGCGTCGATGGAGAGCGCAAATGCACACAAATGCTGTTGGTCCGCTCATGCCGTGTGCCGGAGCAAGATGGCAGTAGTGACACAGTGGCAGGGGTTTTTAACGGACTGCCATGTGACGACTGGTCGTTGGTGTGTGTATGCGCCGTCTGCCAGATAGCATACCACCTCCAGTGGTGTATGTGTTCGTGGGCTGGCAATGAAATTCTCGCATACAAAAACCTGACAAATTGCAGCAGTTTAAAGCCACAAACTAACGGTTATTAGAATGAAATCTGTAAATTGAACAGAACACACACTCTTGTGCTCTCACTCTCTCCAGCTCCGTCTCTATTATAAGGAGGAGGGTAATTTTAAGCACAATCCCCACGGGGGGCACGGCATTCCACCTCCACTCGACTATAATAAAAAGGGCAATTGAATCCAACTATACGGTTAGTTCAGGGTTTGGACGACAGGTGGTGCCACACCAGATTGGCGAATAATGAAGCTCTGGGGGGGCCAAAGGCAAAAACTCAATGCTACACGCCCACAAAGTCGCGCTCTCTCTCACTCTCACTCCCACTTCCACTCTCTCGCTTCTATGTGTGTACTTTGCAACAGAAAACATTGTTTGTTTGAACTACAATTTCTAATGCAAACACATGGTGAACGGGAGTGTCGCGAGCCCTGCCACTCCCCTAACACGCACAACACTCGCTGCAATCGCTCGAACATTTTGCTCAATTTTGAGTAGTCATTTTGTTTGCTCACATCACAGGCCAACAGAAAATTGCCCCCAACGTCAGGGTTTGGTCTGGTCGGGTCTACGGACCATGCCATCCATTCGATTGTGACTATGAGCCACATAGCTGCCACTTACGATAAGATGGCGTTTTGGCCTGCCTCTGCCTAGAAACTGCATGATGAAGACTATGATGCATGATGATCATCATGCAGAGCGCCATCGGCGGAAGTTGCGGGCACCTCTACTCCGGCCGGACATTTTGTTTTGTGCCCGTCATTTTGCTTATTGCACAAATTTCTGCTGGGGCCGCAGCAACCAGCGCTCGTTGCGGCCCACAAAACTATTGCCTAACCACAATGACAACTAACAGCAAAGCCAAAGAAATGAAAGGAAAAAAGCATCTATTATTGTGGGCGTTCAACGTTTTCTCACATGCATCATAACAGGCAAGCAGCAGAAACGAAACAGTGGGGAGCCACCAAACGAGAGAAGCATGCGGCCCCAAAAGATAAAAAATTAAAAAAAAAAAAAAAAAGCAGCAGAGAGCCAACTATTGCCTGCTCGTGTGTAGCACCGGTATGGGGAAGAAGAAGCGACCCAAAAAGGGGGGGGAAACCAGTTTGTTGGCACGGCTCCAAGAGCCTCTGCGAGAGTTCTGGCATGGTCAGCGTGTGGTCAGCTTTTGATGTTTGCCCTGGCTTTTTTTATTGTGAGCAACCCTACTGCACGAAAATGGAGTGCTTAACAGGCGCAAATTGAGCGGAAATACTATTCACAGATACGGTGTGAAAATGAATATTAAATACGCCTCGGGGAAATGTATTTCCGAATGCCATTAATCTTTGAAATATATTCTGATTGGGTGAGAGACAATATTCCATAAGCATGAAAATTTTACTGAACAGTATTACCAGACAATCGACCGTCGCTATAAAATGTATCTGTAAAATGTAGTTTAATACGAAAAATAAAAATCACCAAGAGATACCTTTATTCCAAGATTTCCCATTAAAGATTGCAAATTAAATACAACACCTTGACATGGCCTTAAACTGCGCATAAAATAAGGCAATATGTACCAGGATTAAGTAACCCTGAACGTGGCGACGCACTGTATTACTTCATTCCCTGCCCGTTTGGCCGAGTGCCAAGTGAAGCCAACGCCCTATACCCCATTTCCCAGCAGACCCCCATCTCCACAAACACAATCTCCAGCAGTCCCTTTGGATCCCATCGACTGGTCGGCCGGCCAGACCACGCCCTGACCAAACACAAAATACACGGAGAGAAGTGGGGGCCGAGGGCAGTGCGCGTTTTTGATTTGCGCCACTGCTGATGATGACGCCAATGCCGAGGCGGCGTCCACTTGTTGCCGCATTGTGCGCGCCTGTTCCCGAAACTGGATTTTGGGGCCTGACTGACCGCACTATTAAGAAACGGGACGGACATGCAAGGCGTTGACACGTTGCGACGGCTAATGTACCAATCAACCATCGAATCGAACCGAGCCCCAAACCACCACCATCGGCGGCGGCAACCACCCAACCAACCATCAACCACTCCCGATCCGACTCCGATCCACACGGGTGGACGTTGACTGTGGTTAGTACCGCTGATGTGGCCTGCTGCTGCTGTTGCTCTTGCTGCTGTGTGGCAATTAGCGAATAACCTTAACCTTAGCTTCCAAAAAAGCTCAAATCACAACCTGTGCTATGAGGCGCCCAAAAATGTTTAGCTGGTAGCTGTGGCACCCAAAATGCGCTGTGGCCCCCAAAACACCACCAGCCGCCGACGAGAGTTCAACGCTACGCATCGAGTGGATATCACATACACTCACAAACACAGAGGAACTTGTTTCGGCGGCGCTCATCTCAATGCCACTCGAAAATTATATGAACTGCTTATGTCATCGACAGTCGACAGTAAACCCACCTCACCTCACCCCACCCCCACTTCCCCTGCCATATAGCACAAGCTTCAATAACGCTTCGAGCGTTGTGCAAAAATTCGCACATGACCCACATTTCGCCGAAAAAGTTTGCAAAATTTCGCAAAATGTTGAAAATCCTTGAGTTTCAAGGTGCGTTCTTCAGTTGGCAATGAGGAAAATACGGTCAAGGCGAGACGAGAACTCCGAAGGCAAAAACCAGAACGAGAACGAACGAGTTTTGTATGTCTGGTTGGTCTCGTTCTGGCAAATGCCCTAATAAAATTAGCCTATGTCATAGTATTATATGGTATGTTATATACATATGTTTGATGGATATATGGAATAATTATAGCATAATAATACGAAGAAAATATGTTGAATTAGGAATTTGAATTTTAGAACGATGCTGTGTAGATTGGCAGCGGTGCATAAAATAATTATAAATAAATATTACATTTGTACATCATCAATTATAATGACGGTATACTTACCCTACATTTATACCCATACGCTCACAATTGTAAGTGTATTCATAATTCGACCTGCACCCATACTTTTCTGCACACTCACAAACACACTCATCTAAATGAAATACAAACATGATTCCGCTTCGCAACAAAAGCGAGCCAGACCAGCCGTATATCCACTGTGCTCTGTTGTTCTTGTTGTTTCGCTGTTTGTGATGATTTTTCTGGCCCTGCCCTGTTGTGTTCTTCTTGTTGGTACGATATTTTCTGTCCGCCTAATGAAAATGTTGCTGTTTTTGTTTTTTGTTGTTGATATAATAAACCAGAGTCAACAACGGTGCGGTGCCAGGTTCGATATGTTTGTTGTACAAACAACAATCGGAACAACAATCAGAAATCGCGCGAAGGCAAAGGCGATGAGATGAAACGCGAAGCGACGCGTTTTTTGCCGTCGCTGTCAGTCGTTCGTGATGTGGGTCATTGTGAAATGAGTGCGCCGAACCAACCAGGGGCCCAGAACCCAGCCAAAGGCAAATTGGCCAACAGAGAGAGTGAGAGAGAGCGAGCGAGAGAGCGTCAGTGAGTGACAGAGCCAAAATGAGACAGCTAGTGGGGGTGTGTGCAGTGGTCTATAGTGTGGTCTCTGTCTGGCGCCTGCGCTCTGTCGCCTTTGCTGGGCGCCGGTCCGCATTTTTGCGTCTGAAAGAAACAGGTCGACTCGGCCAAAAGACCCGCGGAAATGGAGATTAATTGTGAATGCGCCATGCCACAACGAGTCACAGACCAGACTGTCGTGTCAGCTGCTGCTGCTGCTCGAAGCTGACACCCTGTGCCGCCGCAACTGAGTGTCAGATTTCGTATTTCGTACACGACAGAGCGAGAGCGAGTGCAAGAGGCGTAGGAACTTGAATTTCACCTGACGTTGGCATTCTTAATTGTCTTAAGACGCGGATAAGGCGAGGATAATCCCCCAAAGGTATGCACACGCACCGCGGTCAAGACATTCCCACCTGATAATCCGTCTTAATTGAATTTCTTAGCCCTGCTATAAAAACATCTTGACCGATGGCTCCACAGGCCAGTCAAAGGCCAGCATGTGGGGGCGCTCCAGAGCAAATTAGAGGCGGCAGGGCAGTGGTTTGTGGAACTCAAGTTCCACTCAAGTTCAAGTGCAGCTGCCAGGATGCATCTCAATGACCCGAGTGGGCCGCAGGCCCTTGTCAACGACAGCTCTGGAGATGGTGGCGGCGCTGTCTATCCCATAGGACATGGCTATCCGGCGGAATATCAGCATATGGTGCATGCCCATTGGCGGGGATTTCGCGAGGCACCGATCTATTACCACGCCGGCGTCTACATTGCCTTTATAGTCCTCATGTTCTCCAATCTGTTTGGGAATGGTTTGGTCATATGGATTTTCTCCACGTAAGAATATTCGACTCCCGAATCTTAATTTTTTACCCCGAATTGTTTCTCTCTCTCTTCAGCTCCAAGTCCCTGCGAACGCCATCCAATCTGCTGATTCTGAATCTGGCCGTATTTGATCTCTTCATGTGCAGCAATATGCCGCATTATCTTCTTAATGCCGCCGTCGGCTATATAGTTGGTGGGGATCTGGGCTGCGATATATACGCTTTGAATGGCGGCATCTCCGGCATGGGTGCGTCCATAACGAATGCCTTCATTGCCTTCGACCGTTATAAGACCATCTCGAACCCGATTGATGGACGTTTGAGTTACGGACAAATTGTGCTTTTGATTATTTTCACCTGGCTGTGGGCCACGCCCTTTTCGGTTCTACCCTTGTTTCAGATCTGGGGACGTTATCAGCCGGGTTAGTTGATTTTGCATACAACAGCATACGGGTACGAGTACGAGTATCTTCAGGAATTCACACGAATCCATCCATTTCAGAGGGTTTCCTGACCAGCTGCAGCTTCGACTATCTGACCAACACTGATGAGAATCGCCTGTTTGTGCGCACCATCTTTGTGTGGTCATATGTTATACCTATGACCATGATCCTGACCTCTTACTACAAGCTTTTCACGCACGTCCGCACCCACGAGAAGATGCTCGCCAATCAGGCCAAGAAGATGAATGTGAAATCGCTGTCGGCGAATGCCTCCAACGACAACATGAGTGTGGAGCTGAGGATTGCCAAGGCAGCCCTAATCATCTACATGCTGTTCATCGTGGCCTGGACTCCGTACTCGGTGGTGGCGTTGATCGGTTGCTTTGGGGAGCAACAGCTGATAACGCCCTTCGTCTCCATGCTGCCGTGTCTGGCCGCCAAGTCGGTTTCCTGCCTGGATCCCTGGGTGTATGCCACCAGCCATCCCAAGTTTCGTCTTGAGCTGGAGCGACGTTTGCCTTGGCTGGGCATTCGGGAGAAGCATGCCACTTCTGGGTCATCTGGCGGTCAGGAGAGTGTGGCCAGTGTCAGCGGCGACACGCTGGCTCTCAGTGTTCAAAACTGATGATGCATCCGATATACGTACATAGTCCCCAAAATTGTACTACTCTGATAAAGATTACGAGTTGATTAGTTCTAAGTGTGCAACGAGCTACAAAAGTTCCCAAAAATATAAAACAAAAAAAGTTGGCATTTGAAAAGTATGCCTTTGAAGTGCAAAAACGCAATTAGCTAGGGCATATAAAAGCCACAAATAAGATTAGGAAACGCTCTTGCAACTGTGGTTAAAAAATCTATATAAATGTTGTCATAGTCCCCAAATAATGCAATACGACAATCGCGGAACTTAAGTGAATAGCCGATTGAATTGTATCGATCCACAGTATTTTTCAATAAATAAGGTATTGAAACTCCGCGCGCCCGCCCCCCGCTCACACCAATACAACTGATTCTGGCCACCGACAGGCTCCGTGGACGTGGAGCCAAATCTCTTCTTACGCTGTTTCAACCCCATCCCTGCTACCGCGTTCTTTTGTTTTTTATAGCTAGTTCTTGGGTGTCGGTGCAAAATTACCCTTCCCGCATACATGCGCAAGGGTAGCCATGGGCCCCAACAGAAACAAAAGCAATGAACTATATGGAATTGATAGATTTTCAATCATCTAGTTCTGCTTCATTGTGGACTACAAATTCAACCAAAATCAAGACAGTATAAGGACAAAGACATTAAACACTTCTACAACACAAGACGCAAGTTCTAGTGTGGCTTTTCGCCCGTCATCCAGCGTTTGTTTCAATTCATGTTCAACTTGGTAGCAGGCGAACAGCGTCTACTACGCCCGTATTCAATGGTTGAAATAAGTTCTAGTTCTATGTTGCCATTAAGCAAATTACGGATCTCCGCAAGGCAGGCAACCACGGGGGTGAATGCAGTGTTCCTTTTCAATTTGAATGTTCAACTCGGTACCCATTCCACCAGGCGAGCAGCGTCCGTAGCAACAGAATAATTGAAAGGCAAGATGGAAACTTTCCGTAACGAATATTTTCATTGCCATCGAGCAGGCGCAAGGCGAGTTCACGCCGAGAAAAATGGATGTATTTAAAGTAGGAAAGCTATAGAGCATTAATTGGACTATTTACGATTCACAACTAGACAAATATGAAAAAGCAAGGACCACTTAAAAAGTAATTTTAAATGGCATTAAACCTAAATTTCAATGAATTTTTTACTAAAAGCTTTTAGAAATGCTTCGGTTCAAAATGCAATCGATGATCGTCAGCCATAGCTGCGATACGATTGATATGTATATGTACGTACATACATAATAGAGCGTATATACATATGTAAGTACATATATTGTAAGTGACACCTATTAATGTGTTCGTGTACTGTTCGGTCTGGCAACTTGGTTGCAAAAACAACAAACTGATTGCTCGATTGACTGCTTCGTTGATGCTGATGCATTCAAACAAAAAGACCTTGGTTGAAAGCAGCGCGTTTCAATTCATGTTCAGCTTTGGGACAGGCGAGCAGCGTTCGCAGCAGATGATTCAGCGGTTGAACGAAACGCTGGTTCTTTTCTACCTGGCACACACCTAGCAAAAATACGGTCTTCCGGCAAGCAGCCACGGGGTTGAAAGAAGCGAGCAGTGCTATTCAATTCGAACGTTCAACTCGGTACGAATCCAACTAGGTGAACAGCGTCCGCAGCAGTTGATTAAAACATCTCAACAGATACACTCCTCGACACTTGAATATGCCAATAAATAAGCCCCATTGCTAAAGTAACTAAAAGAGCTATCATGTTATGCCCCAGTTTATGGGTAAAGAGTTTACATACAAGAAAAACCTAAAAGGTTGAAAAAAAGTGTACCTAATAATGCGTGTAGACGACTTACAAGTATATTAAGAAAAACGCCCAATTTGCACGATTTTTCGGCGAAATCTGGGATAAATGTGGTGCTAAGGAAATTGTAACAACAATGTCCAGAATTATTTCGAGTCTAAACAAATAAGAAGCCTAAAAATAAAGAAGAAGTCGCCTCTTAAGGACCTAAGTTTTTGTCGCGCACATGCAGCATCGGATGGCATCTCATACTAAACATATTCAATTTGGAAGGTCTTAATGAATATAGCAAATATTTTCCCGGGCTCTGCGAAGAAACCCATCATTTAAATAAACACCTTAAAGGCCTGTCTCCAGCACCGCGGAATGCAATTTTTTTCCACTACTATGACTGTGTTGTCATATAATTTTTCATTGAAAGAGGCTTTTCTACTCTTTCAAAACCTCTGTGGTGGATTTATCAACATTATAATATGCATACACTGATAGAAAAAAGGCATAGTAAAAATAAGTACAATCATATTTGAATTTAAAATGCAATTTTTAAATACAAACATAGTAAAATTTGATAGAATTCACTTTGAATCAAATATAAATGTATTAAAAATGCTTTTTTAATACGGTCATATTTAATCAAAATATAAAACACTTCAAAATAACTATAATAAATTAAATTTGTAGTTTAATATGTTTCATATTTAAATTTTTCATTTAAAATCCAATGGAAAAACTTGTTATTTTAAACATTCCATATTAAATGAAATCAAATATTTTTTGTATTTATTTTAACTATGTTTATATTATTTTTTTATGTCCCTTGAATTCCCAACTGATTCCAGCTGCTGCCGCCTTGAATACACAGTAAAGTTACACTACTCGACAAAATTGAACTTTTTATTTAGGCTGTGAACCAAAATGACTTCTTCTGATAGATTTCTGGATTTAAAATTTGTTTAGTACTTTATTATTTTTTTTATGGTGTAATTTTTTCTAAAGAATTTTTAAAATCTGGTATTTTTTTCATTGTTTTTTTCAGAGATTGTGCTTCTTTTTTTCATATAACTTGAGTATCTTATATCTGCAATATCTATCTTATAGTTGCAAAGAACTTTGCAGTTCTGAAAAGCTGACAAATGCAACTATACATCGTACCCAGACACTTTGTATCTGCAGCTTAACGCCTGAAAGATATTAAGCTCTCAAATTCAAATTCTATTATTTTCTGCGGCATTTTTTTCTCGAAATTTTGATTTAAAAAACTCGGGAAAAGTCGAAAAAAAAATTCTTGACCAACATTTTTGGTTTTAGATAGACGCATTAATTAGGCGTCGTCTAAGGTATTGCTAATCAAAATCTATGGATAAACGGTCAACTTGCAGCCGTTTCACCAAAACGACTCATAACTAATTTACCTGAACTTAGTGCTTTTATTTTTCAAATAACTTAAGTATCTTATATCGGGTTGCATAGAACTTTGCAGTCCTGAAAAGCTGACAAATGCAACTATAAATCGTACCCAGACACTTTGTATCTGCAGCCAAACCTTAAAAGGGAAAAAATTGACAAAAAATACTTTTTGGAAGGTTGCGGGCCCAACAAAGCAAAGGAAACAAAGCAAACGAAAAGGGGTTGAATTTTTGGTAAAAAGTATTTTTTGTCTATTTCTTCACTTTTGAGGTTTGGTTATCGAATTTTAGCTCCACCGTTTATCAATAGATTTTAATGAACAATACCTTAAAAGAATTTTTTTCTTTCGATTTTTTTCCGAGTTTTAAAGTCAAAATTTAAAAAAAAAAAAACAAAAAAAAATCGCAAAGAATGATGAAATTTGAATTTGAAAGCTTAATATCTTCCAGGCGTTAAGCTGCAGATACAAAACGTCTGGGTACGATTTATAGTTGTATTTGTCAGCTTTTCAGAACTGCAAAGTTCTATGCAACCCGATATAAGATACTTAAGTTATGTGAAAAAAAGCATTAATTTTAGGTAAAATTATTTTTGAGTTGTTTTGGTCAAACGGCTCCAAATTGACCGTTTATCCATAGATTCTATTGAACAATACCTTAAACGACGCCCAATTAATGCGTCTATCTAAAACCGAAAATGTTGGACAAGAATTTTTTTTTTCGATTTTGCCTGAGTTTTGAAAGTCAAAGTTTCGAAAAAAAATACCGCAGAAAATAATAAAATTTGAATTTGAAAGCTTAATATCTGTCAGGCGTTAAGCTGCATATACAAAAAGTCTGGGTCGGATTTATAGCTGCATTTGTTAGCTTTTCAGAACTGCAAAGTTCTTTGCAACCAGATATAAGATACTTAATTTATGTGAAAAATAGAAGCACAACCTCTGACAAAAACCATGAAAAAAATAGCAGATTTGAAAAATTCTTTAAAAAAAAATTACACCAAACAAAAATAATAATAATAAAGTACTACAAAAAAGTCATTTCGGTTCAAAGCCTAAATAAAAAGTTCAATTTTGTCGAGTAGTGCTTATAGTGCATGTCTAGTTCAACTTCAACACATACATCCATAGCTTCAGTGTGGGCTGGATGCCATGTGAATGGGTGTGAATGATTTAGATAATGGGGGTCCACATCCATTGGCTGAGGCCTGATTTTGTTGTGAGTTTCAACACAGACATCCATAGCTTCAGTGTGGGTTGGATGCCATGTGAATGGGTGTGAATGATTTAGATAATGGGGGTCCACATCCATTGGCTGAGGCCTGATTTTCTTGTGAGTTTTCATGACTGAGAACTTTGGATTTCGCTTTGCGCGTTTCATTAGGGCTTGCTTGCATTCGGTAGATACCTTCATTTCAACTTATAAGTCAACTTATACTATTTATTACAATTCAATAGTGGCTGACTGACAGAGATTGTTGCCCAGTTTCGTAGACACAAATTATTGCAAATTCAACTGCCGGCCGTGTTTTATTTTTGTATCTATATAAAGGGAGGGAATAGCGCACGGCAGCATTAGAAAATCGAGATTCAAGCTTGGCTTTGGCTTTGGTTGCTGGGGCCAACTGATTGCTCGACACAAATTATTGCAAATTCAACTGCCGGCCGTGTTTTATTTTTGTATCTATATAAAGGGAGGAAGGGAGGAATAGCGCACGGCAGCATTAGAAAATCGAGATTCAAGCTTGGCTTTGGCTTTGGCTTTGGTTGCGGGGCCAACTGATTGCTCGACACAAATTATTGCAAATTCAACTGCCGGCCGTGTTTTATTTTTCTACCTATATATAGGGAGGGTATAGCGAACGGCATTAGCGAATCGAAATTCAAGCAGTGGAAATCGAACATTTCAGCGTGCGCCCGGCGGCCCTATTTTGGCTTTGGTTGCTGG